GAATGTTTAGGTGAGCGTCAAAACTCAAAGTAATAATAACGTTATTCATATAGGTACTAGTACACTTATGAACGTCAGAAAAGACGTTAAATTAATTGAAAATTTACATTTACAACCAGTTCGCAAGTCAAGGACGTAGACCGGGCAAGAAACTTTCCGCCTCTCTTTTTAATCACTAAGTTTTGAGTCATACAAATTGTTTGTACTGGAACAAATCAATCCCAAGGATTAGGATCATTTATATATTCTTAAAATTTATAAAAAGCTTTATTGTTTAATTTACGTTTAACGAGGGCTTTGAATTTATTCAGTGATAATTCTCAAATTTCGCTTGGGAGTTTGTTGTAAAAACAGATACAATTTCAGGAGGAAATAGAGGCGGGAGAGGACAAAAGAGGCCTTCTTGCGAACGGCATCATTTCCCGTATTTACCTCTTTTTTGAGGCGAATTTTTTCCCGAGATGGAGCGAGAGCATCGTAGTTGCCCTTGGCAAAGAGAAACTGCTATTTGAAAGCCCCACTTTCTAAAACTAGCGCCTAGCGACGTGGTTGTAGTCTGGAGTCTGTCTACAATGACGCGTTTTACACATGCACAACGCTGATGAATTAATAATAAAAATAATAAATCTAGAAGGAATGTTATTAAAATTCGTAATAACGATTACTTTTAAGAAATACTTTTTTGAATTCTCGCCCGAACGTTTGTCATGAACTTGTTAGCAACCTGCAACCGGTCCTAAACTAAGTTTGTCAATGTTTTTTATTCCAAATGGTTGTAACAAAAATCCAAAACTTATAATTCAAGCAGGCACACTTGAAATATGACTTCAATGAGTCGATTTATTTGTCAGACGGGAGCTATACTTTGCCGTGGCAGCTTTAAGCATGACTTTCGTGTGTCAAAAACTTATTATATATTATATCTGCAACTTACTTCTGGAGTCACACCAAGCCAGGTGCCAAGTCCAAATGTGGGCATAAGATTCCCATCGTTGAGCCTAACCGCTGGAGCCAGACCTGGAGAGCCGGTCGCCTAAAACGTAGTTTAAAAATTTATATGTATAAACTAAAAAACCTTTTCAAGAGAGCTGCATTTATTTCAGATAAAATATAATAAAATTTGTGGACAAGTGGAATTAAGCAGTGTTGGCTTAATGGCTCTCATCCCTGAGGTCGTAGAATCCAGGCTGTCCACCAATGGACTTTTAAAATATATATATTAAAATTTTAAGGGCATCCTCTTCAAACTTTGAGATTGCTGGCTTGGAAGAAGCTAGAAACAGGCCCAGGTCAAAATTTTTCATTTTCTCTAAATTTACAGCTGGGACAACATAAATTGCAAATTGACTTATGACTATCTTTTGAGCTGTAATACGGGTTCGGAGACCGAAGAGCTGGCAGCTACCTCGGACAAAGAATTAGTCTAGCTATTCAAAGGGGAAACGCTGCCAGTTAAGTATCTTTGGAACCTTGCCTAAAGGGACTCCTTAATAATATATTTTAGATATTATATTTTAAGGTTAGTTATTGTGTTTATTGTTCTTCAATTAATGATATGTAAATATTTGAATAAATAAAATTGAACCTTTTTAAGAAACTCTATGAGACGAGACAGGTTATGTAACTTGGCTATTCTGTATATAGAAATATATATACACAATATAACGCCAAACTTTTAAAGACTTTCCTGGCAGTAGGGGTATTTCCAAACCGATGACTTAGGGGCCTTCGAAGAGCGTTCCCTACCGATTTAATGCGAGTGGAACAGAGAGTGAATAAAAAACAAATCGTTATAATCAGTCAAAATAACTTACCACATAACGAACACTTTGCAAACACAATAATAAAATTACATACAACATATTACACGACCATTCAAACAAATGAGTTACAATACAGTGAATACACTGAACTCTAATGAATATTTTGTCAAAGAATAACAAGTAACAATGATTTGGATTTATACGGTTTAACAAAAAAGAAATCAGTGGCGCTACAACCTTTTTAGGTCTGGGCCTCGATTCTGTCTCATTTGTCAGTCTAATAGTAGGTGATCAGTGTGTAGATCATGTGCTTACACACGCCGTCGTGTTGGGTCTAAGGCCCGATACTTCACGTTGTTTTCCTGAAAGTTCATTGGTACACAGCGGGTTCTACGACCTCAGAGATGTCGCACACTGAAGCCACTAGGCCAATACTGCTTTTAACAGAAACCTAGTATTAAAAACCGCTTCCAAACCTCCTGGTGTTGCGGGTGTCGATAGGCGTCCTGGGGGCCCTGAAAAAAGGGGTCCGGTGTGCGAAGTCCTTGGGGGGTATCACTTAACATCAAGTGAGCCTCCTGCCTTTTGGTCTATACAACTACCACCTCTTACTTCCATAAGCAGGGGTTTTTTTGTATACCACCAGCAAACCAGCTGCTCACTAAAGTATTTTCGAACTATTTCGACATAGAATCCTTCAAGAACAAAGCGTACTAATTAAAAGGCTGACAACGCACTTTCAAGCCTCCTAGAAGTATCAGTGTCCATGGGTGACGGTATCAGGTATCAGATGAATCTTCTGCCCAATTTAATACCCCACGATGATTAAGAACAGTTTCATTCTCAATAACAATGTCTACGAATATACTTTATAAAAGACTTTTTTAACAACAAAATTAACTAAAATATTAACTGTTAGTTCTACGCATTCTTTAATCTATGGGACTGGTTCACCTTGAAAAAGCTTTGATGCAAACTTTAAACCTTAAATATTATATTGTTAGCGGACTAACGCCATCTTGTAGCAGAAACATATATAAAGCGTGGCAACACCGGCGTTGACTCACTTTTATTTCAAGACTTCGTGTGGAACGGACTTGTTACTAACCTAACCTAACCTCAGTAGATTTTAAAAGTCTAAAGTACCTACACGTTCTAATCTTTTGTGTTTCCTAATAATATCTAATCGGTAAAGCATGTTTTTCAGTTATAATACGTTGGTAACACTGAAAATGTTTAGAATTGGCCTGTTAGAAACATTGCTAATGAAAACTTTTTTTATAATTTCAATTTTAGAACTCTTTGGTAACCTAATGTAGTATATTGCATTCATTTGTCATTTGTTTTTGTGAATTGGCGGCAAATCTACAACTCTTGCTATACGTGAAAATGAACCTAACGCGAGAAAATTTTCGGGCAATGATTTATTATGACTTTCGTTGTGGGCTTACTAAACAATAAAGCTATGATAGGCTACGATTAGCATTTCTTAATGAGGCCCATCTTGTGCCACTATTTACAATTGGTTTAACGAGTTTAAGCGTGGACGTAGCAATCTCAATGATGATCCGCGCGAGGGACGTCATTTAACAGCGACTACTGATGATAACATCAGTGCTGTGCGATGATAGAGGAAGATAAAAGAGTGACCTGTCAGCAGATACAGGCAAACCTAGGCCCTAGAACTTGAGCTTGAAGCGTAGAACTTGACTCATACCAATGTATGAGTCAAGTTCAAAAATATTACTCGAACAGTTAGGCGTCGGGAAGCTTTGTACCAGATAGATTCCCCATACTTTAACCGAAGAACAGAAACACCTTCGCATGGACTGGTGTCGCCAAATGTTAGATAAGTACAATAGAAGAGATCCCTAAGGAAGAATGGGCCCACTGATTTTCTCAGTGGTTCCATCGAATGCGACGATGTGAAGAGAGGAACGGATTCGAAAAAGAATAAAAGTATTGGCAACTTTCTACATTAAGCCGTTTTTCATTTTCTAAACATTTTCAGTTGGAGCTTAAAAAATTGGGAAGAACTTGTTCTTCTCATTTTATGAGGTTCGAGAACTATTTTTTAATGAATAAATGATATTTTATTTAGTATAATATATATTTATTCACACACAAATATACAGTATATACAATATTCTTAACCTACACAGTAATAATAATAATTAAATTTAATGAATAGAAAATAAAAAACAATCTTAAAATGGTCTCTGTGTACCTTTAATACTGGCATTTTCTCGCTGTATTGCGATACTTATTCGTTGAGGAAAGTACCAGCTCTGGGGTCACCTACCAGTCGCCAACTTAAATCTTTAATTAGAAGTACACTTAACCCCAACGACCCAAGAGTGGAACAAGAAGGGAAAAGAATCGTAGTTGGATGGAATACTCTTATATTTACGCCGTCTGCTCAGCGGCCGCGCCAGCTTGTACGAGTGCTTGTACGAGGAAAGTGAAACAGGGCTAACGCGTCCACACAACTAGCAATTAGCATACTTTACCAAAGCCCGTTCCATCCTCCAATGGATCAAAGACATCCAATCAGGCCGCTGCCATTAAATACATAAGATACTCAATATCGCTACTGTGTACTCTGCAAACATATAAAGATGTCGAGAGCGGAGACAGTATTCAGTAGCAACGTCTTTGTTAAATCTGTGCACCAGATTTAGCAAAGGTAACCCTAGGTAGGAAACTGAGTGAAGAACACTTGGGTTGCTCACCAGCATTTAGTTATTTTTTTGACATTATCGTATTGGCTTAGTACTGTAAGAATTACCAAAACTTTCATACAAATCTCCAATTTCATAGATAAAAACCTAATAAACCTTGGGCCGTGGGGTTGAAGTGCACAAGCGCTAATTAAAGATTTAAGTTGGCGCCTAGTAGATAGGTGGTGCTTTTCTCACTCAATGAATAAGTATCGAAATTCAGCGAGGAAATGCCAGCATTAAAGGTACACAAGGACCATTTTTAAATGTGTTTTGATTTTCCATTTATCAATTTTTAATTATTATTTTTATTAATATGTAGGTACAATTGTAAATAATTTATATTTGATTGTTATGTTTAGGTTTTAATAAAAAATATATTATATAAAATATATAATAGTACAAATACAAATGTACACCACTCAATCAAGTTATATAACAAAGGCATGTTTGTAAATGAACAAGTTACTAAAACGAGTTTATCAACAGGTCAGACGCGAGCTGATTTCAAAGCAAGATGTTGTTGATTTTGTGTTTTATTTTGTGTGCGGTAAGCTTTTCTTAAAAATTCTTTACTTTATACGATTGGACAAAAGACGTTGTTATAGCTTGACTGGCATTTTTTATAAACTGTGAAATTTATATGTAACTAGCTGACCCGGCAAACGTCGTTTTGCCATTATATTATTTCTAGGAAAGATTTTTTTTGTTCAATAAAAATAACTATCTACTATAATTATAAATAGGGGTTGATCGTAGAGGGGTGAAAATTAAGGGTTGTATGTATTTTTGTATGTTGTATCATTAAAACAAAAAAAATTGTCCAAAAAATTAAAAAAATATATTTTGGGTGGACACCCCTTATCACTTAGGGGTATGAAAAATAAATAGTAGCCGATTCTCAGACCTATACGGAATATGCATATAAAATTTGATAAAAATGGGTCAAGCCGTTTCGGAGGAGTATGGTAACTAACATTGTGACACGAGAATTTTATATATAAGATAAATGTCAAGAGTTTCACTATATATGTAGTGTATGTTAAACAAGCTGCACCATAACACAAATAATGAATATATAACACGGGATGTCTGCATCAAGAGACCTAAGGTAACAGACGGAGTCCTGGTAGGATCAGAGATTTGAGGCGGTGGTTTACTCAAAGCTATCATCAGAGTTCGCTTCGGAGTTATCGTGGTGATGATAGCTTTGATAGCTTTGCACCCTCCTAGGGATCACAGATATCCCATATTAAATTAATTATAAAAAAACGTCACCATTAGCTATATAGAAATGGGCATGTAAATATATCATAATTATCTTAATTAAAACTTATGGTCTAAATACTCTCCCTATAAGGCATCTTGCCTTTGAAAATCGAATCACCTTCCCCTCGAAAGCATTACACGTCAGTGATAAGTTCTGGGAAGGTGGTTAAATAGTTTGATAGCCATGGCGTAACAATTCTAAAGAACAACAAACGGTCAGACACGCCTGATGTAAATACCATGAAGACAAAACCAGAAGAAAACTTCAGTGAGAATATTGTTTTATTAAGTTTTAAATTTTGTTTCAGCATGGCGCAGTGGTACCCACATATAAAATGAATGATGGTTTTAGAATGCCAGCTATAGCCCTGGGTACATGGCTTGGAAATAATACCAAGGTACACACACAAACACATATTTCTATCATATTCTCTTTAGGTTAGGTTAGGTGCTCTTTTTAGGCCTTCTCCAAATCCCGCCGTCTACTCTGCATGCATCAGCTGTTTCCTTGGTCTTTACACCTTCTAAAATGTCTCCCTCTATTTCGCACTTAGTACTTGCTCCACTTATCTGTACCTCTTGATATGTGCCCCGCCCATTTATTTATTTTTATTATAAAATCTGTAGCCTTAGTTGTTGTACTATTCATTCCCTGGAATTATTTTGTTTTTTGTAACTGTTTACTCAAGAACTATTTGTGATCCTGGTACAGTGTCACGCAAGGGCCTAAACCAAGCACAGGTTTTCATATGTAGGACGGCGCTTTGTGGAGGTCTAAATGTTTGATAGCTTACCATTAGACATAATTATAGGGACTATTGATACTTTGTTAAGAGTCCACATCCTTTTAATTTCATTATTAACTAGCTGCATAGTAGTGTTAGCTTAGTGGCTTCAGCGTGCGACTCTCACCCCTGAGGTCGTAGAACCCCGGTTGTGCACCAATGGACTGTCTATAACGTTCGCTCGTACGAAGGAAAACATCGTGAGGAATCGTGTTTAGACCCGACACGACGGCGTGTGTCAGGCACGGGAGGCTAGCTACTTGCCTATAAGAAAAATGATCATGAAACAGATACAGATATCACAGAGCTAAAAAGGTTGTAGCGCAACTGATTTATTTTTTATTACCTAGTTACCCCCGCGAACTTCGATCTCCTTAATATGATTGTAATAAGTCTACCTTTTTAGTAACATACCAACATATGGAACATTGCTATGCATAGAGACTGATTTTTATGTTTTATATCTGCTCAAATCCTCTACAGTCTACTGTTTATTAATTATAGACGAAACGATAATGCTAATAATGCCCAAACATGTGTCAGATCAGCCTGATCATGTCAATAAAAATTTTCTACGCATATGATATTGTAACATTGACGGAGGCAAGAGTCGTATGATGTCATTGGCGTTGGCGTGGCGAGAAAAACGACCTGCACTCTTTTGACAGTGGAGTTCTTGGTGTCCAAGGCTGACTTCTTAACAACAGGGACACTTATACAGGAGAAGGTACACATGGGCACTCCTAACTCCTAAGCGAAGGAAAGCGAAGCGAACAATGCGAAGTGATTCAGGTCCAAAAGGTTCCAGTATTTGGCGAGGCATTGACCGGCTTCCCTAGATCCCACTGCCCCCAACCTTGTGTGGTCTGCAATTGAGACTCAAACAGGGACCAAACTTTATAAATTTGTTTTAATTTTCTATTTATCAATTATTCAATTTTAACTATTATTATTACTGTAAATAATATTGTAGATACGGTATATTTGTAGCCAATTATAAAGTAATTATTTTTCACGCGTGGAGCCTTCTACCGACAACGTGGAGAAGGCAGTGACTTGGGCGATAGAGGCGGGCTACACACATGTAGACACGGCGTGGATTTACAAAGTAGAACAGCAGGTTGGGCGAGCCCTGAAGAAATTTAAACGGGAAGATGTTTTTATTACAACGAAGGTAACTATTTAAACTTCTGAATGTATTAATAGCAAAATTGAGTGTATTTATATCTGAATTAGGAATTAAAACGAGATTTGAATTCGAAGGAAGTCCTAGTCCGAGTCGAGATTTAGCTAATGATTACTTCCTTTTAACCAAATACAGGGAAGGGCTTGTTAAATTGACAATCTCCAACGCATTTCGTCTCTATGCGTATTCTACAAAGTCTACTGCGAGTGTTCTGCAGAGTTGTTTGGGTTGTATTGACCTAAAATTTCATCCGCATTATCTTGACCTTCTCAAGACATTTTCTTTTGCTAACTAGCGAACTGTGGAATACACTTTTCTGGGAGATACGACGACGATACGAAAAAAAAAGAGCATACAGTGGCCATGCGACGACAGTCCTTTTTAGGCGTCCCCCCCCCCCCCACAATTCTATAAAAAGATGCCTTGTCATGCAGGTTTTGACGTCAGTCATACTCTTGCATGCGTGCAAGGTTTTAAGATACATGTATATATTAGGTCCTTACATATGAAATTGGCGTATTTCGTACTGGCCACTTTAATCATGATGTTCTCCTCTTTGGTAAGGAATTCCAAATTCAAATTTGTACAGCTATTTACTCATGTATTTGTGCTTCGATGAGCGTCATTCATTTGTTTTTTTCTTCTGTTTTTTTTCTGTTTGCGTCACTCATTTTACAAAATGGAAAACTTAAAGTATCGCATTATTTACGAGTACGAGTTCCACCGTGGCACTAGTGCTGCGGAAACGACTCGAAGGGTGAATGCTGTGTATGGCGGTCATGTTGCAAAAGAAAACACAGTTCGTTTTTGGTTCCAACGTTTTCGTTCTGGAAATTTCGACCTGCAGAACAAGCCCCGTGGACGGCCTGAGACCCAAGTTGATAATGAAGTATTTAAGGCTATTGTGGCCAGACTATTTCGGCTGATGTCTATTGTCAGCAATTGCAAACCATGATGGAAAAGCTAGCGGCTAAACAACTTAGGCTGGTCAATCGCTCCACGCCACTGCTACTTCACGACAACGCTAGACCACACACTGCACAACAGACGGCAACCAAATTAGAAGAGCTTCAATTGGAATGTCTAAGACATCCTCCGTACTCCCCGGACACAACCAACTCCAACAGATTACCATTTTTTTCCAAATTTGGACAACTTCTTGCAAGGGAAAAAATTTAACTCTGATGGGGCAGTCCAAATCGCCTTCACAGATTTTATTGATTCCCGTCCGACTGTTTTTTTTTAGTAAAGGGATCAATGAACTACCTATGAGATGGCAAAAGTGCATAGAAAACAATGGTTCATACTTTGATTAATTAAATATATTATATTCAAAAATATTCGGCTTTTTGTTCCTCCCATACAAAACGCCAATTTCATATGTAAGGACCTAATATATACGTATATAATAGGCTGTGAAACATATAATTTCAGTTATGGAACGACAAGCACGCCCGATCATCAGTCATACCAGCGTTAAGACAATCATTAGAGAACCTACAAACTACTTACGTGGATCTATATTTGATACATTGGCCTGTGGGACAATTCGTAAGTATTTATACAACGAGAAGGATAGAAAGAAGTGTTTTAAATCGTTCATTACAAAGTCTTTGGCCGAAAACTAGAATATTAAGTAGTGGAATACTAGTCTAATGTATAATATTCACGAACGTTCCACAAAAACTTATTTGTAAAAACATTTACATATTAATTATCAATAATTGAATTTATTTTTATCTCTAATTGTTTGACGAGATTCGATTTTCTCTATTTTGGTTTCAGCAAAACGGATCCTATGACTCGACTGATTATTTGGAAACATGGCGTGGTCTTATAGATGCGAAGAACGCAGGTCTCACGAGATCTATCGGGGTTTCCAACTTCAACCAGCAGATGATTGATAGGATCCTGGAGAATGGACTCGAGAAGCCAGTAGCTTTACAAGTTGAGGTATTCAGTTACATCATTAAATCGTGCGTTGTCTATGCTATGGACCAATGGATTTATATTATAAAGTTTCTCACATCTAATCTCGTAAATAAGAATTGAAATTTTAATTTGAAATTTTCAACGACAGACGACTGTCGAAAAGTGTTGTCTCAAGCCCCTAATCGTGTGTGAAGCGCCGTTCAACAAATATAACCTTTTTAAAACATGTATTATTTTCAAGGAAGCTTTACAAAAAAATATGAAATTCGGTTACACATGCAGAAAGCGTCTTTAAAACGTCGTACGAACGTAAATAAAGTTTGTAATTCAAATAATTGTTGACTTGACATCCTGTAAGTATAGCGCCAAAACTTATGCAGATTCGATACGGTGATGTTCATTTGACAACTCGAACGCGGTAAAACGCGTAAATTTTTTATTCGAACGATGTTATTAATTATTGTTTGTACTTTTTAGTCCAAAATACGCCCACCAAAAAAAATATTATGCTAATAATACCACACATTTATTTATTTATTTCGTAATCTTACAGCTAACGTAAATTAATAATTATATAAAACAATTATACTAAAGTTAAAGATGGAATACATAATATTTACAAAAAGGGTCAAACATTTACAAAAGGAAAAAATCAACAAAACGTATTAAATACATTTAGCTAAGTTAAAACCTAATTGGCCTGTATTGTGCGATGGTGTAAAAGTGAGAGTATTTACGTGATGTGTATGTGGGGTGTACTATGATGCAGGTGATATTCCGCGATAGCTTAAACAAGTCAAGGCTTAAATAATGGTCGTAAGTCCGGGCTGCGCGTTACAAAACTGCTTTTTGAGCATAGTGTTGATTTGAGGAACGTAAAACAAAGCACGATTACGAGTCTGGTAGGCAGGAATAGGGAGGGGCAATTTTTCTAGAAGTGAGCTGCAATTAATTTTATTATATTTATTTTTAGTTGAATCTCAACCTCCAACAACCAGCTCTTCTAAATTATTGCAAGCAAAAGAACATAACAGTTATGGCATATACTCCCTTCGGCTCCATTTTTCCCTCGAAGGCGAAAGAAACCTCTCCTCCACCACGGGTAGATGATCCCGCGATGGTTGCCATGGCGACGAGATATAACAAGACTGTGCCGCAAGTTGTGTTGAGATATTTGGTAAGTACAAATAGTGCAAGTGATAATTAATGTTAAGCGACATTTATTTTGGTTGAAAAATGGATGGATACAAGAAATTTGTTGAAATAAATTATTCGTAGATATATTGTAGATTAAACAATTATAAAGGTTAAGCCACACTGGTCGCGGTTGGCAAATTGATAGCCTTTTTTTTGCAGGTGGAGTTAGGCGTGGTCCCGCTCCCGAAATCCCTAACAAAGTCTCGCATCGCACAGAACGTTGACATATTTGACTTTTCACTCTCCGAAGAGGATAAACAGTTACTTAAAAGCTATGACAAAAACTACAGAACAATACCTCAATATAAATGGCTGGACCACCCATTTTATCCCTTCGAGAGGACAGAAACAAAATAGTAACACCATCTTCATACACTTTTACAATTCATTTTTATTTTCCAACAAAAAGTTTCTCCGAGTGTCTTTACATTTAATCAAATCAAAATGAATTCATTAATTAACTTTTATTATTTAGATTTCCAATTTTTCCCTTATATATAATTAAGTATATATATTTTGGAAGAATCAATTGAAAGAATTGAATATTCTTGATAAACTATAAAATCCTACCCGTAGGGCTCCGGTTACCTATGGTCTCTTGGTGCTGACATTACGTACTTATTCATATATTCACTACTTGTGTTAGGGTCTCACTGTAGGGCTTTAAGATTGTCAAGTTTTTAGTTCAGACCATCTTATATATTGAGTTAATTTTTTATTATTATTTATCTATATATAAATTAAGTATAAAAACACCAAAAAACCGCTTGGTGCCTGAAGGGCTACAAAAATTCCTTTAAATCACAAACTTGAGTTAAAAAATATACAAATGATACAGAAACGATATGAAGCCATTACAACGGAAAGAAAATTCTGAATTTGTTACTGAGTACTGCAGCTCGCACACACATTTACTGTACTCCTTAGATTTAAATACACTTGTGACAATTTCATAAATGGAGTATCGCTGTTATATTCCTTTATATTAGGCTTTCGAGAACAGATGTGAAAAATAATATGCATAAGGAAACTAAAAAACCATGTTTTTAAATAATTTGTTCAATTTATTGTACAGTTAAAACAACATTGCTGAGAGTTGCTTTGTAGACACTTCTATTACCTGTTCCCTACCCCCTTACCCACTTCTACGGCCTGCCCCTTGCCCCCAACCCCAGATAAGCTTCTACTGCTTGCCTCCTGTCCTACCGACCCTACTGCCTATCCTTGGCAATCATACAATTTATCTAACTTGATATTAAATCTGCATTTCAAATATATAATTGGTGTCTTGGGAGAATCCCTCTTAGTTCCGAATACCTCTACACACGTATTTCTCGGTATGTTTAAAAATAAAACAGTGAGTAAAAATATTATTTTATTTATACATTTACATCTAACAAATATAAAACCATACATTATCTTACATCTCGACTCACTCTGAATTTGTAAATTTTAAACAAAACTTTTTCAACCAAATCTCGAAAACATACTTAGAAGAACTTCTTCGCTTGAGCTTCTTTCCTTTCCCTGAAAAATAAAAAAAAACAGTTATTCACATGAGTGTCAAATATCTGCATAAGAATAAACCAAAGAAAATTAAATGTCATCTGTCAAAAATTAGCTGAACCAAAGATAACATATCAACTTCACATAAATGTCAAAAGTTGTATAAATGCAAAAAAATACAGTTTTACCATCTCATCATTATAAAAAAAAATATTCCTTATGTGTCGTTCAATAGAAATTGTTTCGCCGGACATCGAAGACGGAGCTTACCAGCGCTGTTCATTAGACATCAGGCACTACTGGCGTTTGACTCCTAACTTTACATTTGACAGATGACACTTGACATTAGATTGACAGATTACGTAAAACAAACTAAATGTTGATAATACAAAAATCTAAATCAATATTAAATAAAAATGCTAAACCAATTTCGATATAACTTGAACTCCCCTATATTTGTATTGAAATTAATTAATCCAACATCTTTTTAGTTCCCGAGTAATTAGTTGACAAACATACATAACCTTAAACAGATATCTATACAAATAACTCGGTTACAAGTTTCCAGTATACAAATCAACTCACTTGTACCACTGATATAGGAACAAGACCAAAAGTTGTCCACTTATGATCACAAGCAGCATTCCCGTTGAGACACATGTGACCGATGGACAGTTTTGGGATTGCATCGGAGATGATATTCTATAATTGAAGAAACAATTTTAATATACAAAATAAATATATTTATAATGCGATTATTTCATTTTTTAATCACCAAAGAAAACAGATTGTATGAAATGTTTCCATCTGTCAAATACACACAATAAAAAAAAGGTTGCAATAAAAACGCGCGAAACGCTGTAGAAAATAAAATTTGAATTTGGAATACAGATTCCTAAATTATAGATCAATCAAATCTGACATTAATTACCTATGTAAGAATAATAAAGGCGGGAAACACATTCTTTCCCATCAAACTCCATGAATAAAAAGTTTGTTTTTTGAATTTGGAATGTGGATTGTTTACCCGAAGAAAAACTTTAAAAGAGAAAATTTTTATGAATATGTCACTGGCTGGTTGTTTGCAATGTTTACTGTTAGGCAGGTCATAGAGACTGGTGCGACGCCATCTTGCTTTGGGAAATGTTTTATCGGGGTCTCAAAATTAAGAATGTTTTATATGAAGTGTGAGATTAAAACGTCAAAATATAAACCCGGAAACAGATTGACTGATGGCGAATTTTATTATAATTTTGTAAATAATGATCTACTTATGAAAATGTGACCAGTTGTAAAAAAAACTAACCTTTGTGCGACTCCTGCCAGACTATTTTTGACTTGATGGACGTTGTCCCGGAGTTCGTTGAAGAATTGGGGGTTGACCCCGTTGCCCCCACCGCCGCCCCCGGTCGTCAGTAGGGTGTCGGTTTTGCGATTCACTTCTACTACGAATGCCCTGAAACATTATTATTATATGTTTTAACTTACCATCTCGATTTGGGCAAGGGCTTTGCTTTGAATCGAAAACCAATTACCGGTTTTTTTCATTTTATTTATCAATTTCTTACCAATTGCGTGATCTTAGTTAAGTTTTTGGAAATCTCGATTATGATTCGAAATCAAAAGCGATTTATACCGGTTTCTCTCATTTTAAAAAAATAATTTTAAAAAGTCGATTTTTACCAATTGCGTGATCTCAATTTCTGAATTTTGTATTTTTTCTGGAATAAAGACCGAATAATTTTAACGGTTTTTTACAATGGTCTTAAAAACTCGCTTTTTACTAAACCTCATTCTGAACTTCTAAAAATATAATATTAAAAGTACCGATCGATTTAATCATAGTTTTTCGGATAATCATCAAACAGACTCACTTAAGCTCCGACACCGTTTGAATCATCAATTGGTTGTTGGACGTGAAGACGTCCCAGTCGTGGCGCGTAATTGGGAATTGGGGCATCTGGAAAATTAATTTAATTATTATCTTCTATTTAAGGTCCCAAAATAAGATATTATATAAGTTCAGGTGCAGCTTTAACCAGACTGAAGGAACACACCCTCAATAGCACCCCATATATCCTGTAATGGGCCCCCAAACAGCCCACTATCAATTATTACACTAAATAGTCGAGGACAGTCGTAAAGATGCCAACTATCTGAAATAGTTACGGCCCTATATGGGCTATTAAGTATTACCTGCACGGCCTGTCCGGGTTGCGCCTGCGCAGGCTGTCCCTGAGACTGGGTGTAGACAGCCGACAACATCGAGAGAGAGTTCATCTGCTTGCCGATCACCTGAATATGGATGGACAAGAAATGATGAAATTTGAATAAGTTAATTTTAAGTCAACTTTGCTTTATCACGGCATTGAAGTTAATTATAGTACGCCTTGTAAACAATATCAAATGCTTGCTGTATGCCACAGATTAGGCAAAATTCAAATTTGCTATAGACTAAAACAATTATGGTGATATTCCTAAGCAACTTTGGTTCCTTCATAATTCAAATATAAGTATAATAACACTTCCCAACTTACCTCATCAACTTTCTTATGCAACTCCCTGGTGACATCCTGTATATGAGACAGGGTCTGGAAGATCTGCCTCAACTCCCTCTGACCGTCCGACTCGAACCAATCCTCCATCTCGTCTTTGTCTCGCATCTGAACATCCATTAAAAAGTATTTTTTGGAGTATTTTCTAGAATATACTATTTATATGTCAATTATAAAACATTTTTTTATTTTTTTATTCAGAAGATTCACAGCACAATACATAAATAGATTTATATATATATATATATAACATTGTAGGCCAATTATAAATCTCCACATATAGTTTTTTTTTTCATAAAACAAGAAGGTAAACATTCCAAATATTTTTAGTGTAAGACAAAAAAGAAAAAAAAACAGAATTTAATTAGTTGACAATGAAAGGTTATCAATGCACTTCATTCATCATGGTTGAAATAATTTTGTGTCAAAGCTATTCTTGCTGTCCTCACACTCTCAGCGAACAAATCAATGTCAGTCGTTAAGTCATTAAATTTGTTCGCCGCTCTAACCATAAAGTTGCTCCCTCTATAATTTGTGTTTACTCTGGGTACATGCAATAGGTTCATGATTCTAAGTGTTTTATTATGTGTTCGAAGGTTTATTTTGCTCACTAGTTCGGTACAATCGACCGCACCAGTAGCAATTTTCATAAGGTATATAGTGTCCGCAATATCACGTCGTAATGATAATGGAAACATGTGAAAATGTTTACACCGGGCTCTGTAGTCAGGCAGCGAAATTTTGGCCTTAAATTGCAAGTGTTTAAAAAAATTATTTTGAATATTTTCAATTCGATTCTTATAAATAGCATACGGAGGGTTCCAAATTTGCGATGCATACTCTAAGGTGCTTCTAACATACGAGAAATATAGAATTTTCAATGTCTTGACTTGGGTAAAACTACATGATGTTCTTAAAATAAAGCCAAGCATTTTGGTTGCTTTCCGTACAATACTATCTATATGTATATCAAATATTAACTTATTATCATGCAAAACTCGGAGATCCCTAATCGACATCGACAGCCTCTGAAGCAGAATTTTTAAGCTCGTGTTTTGTATTGATTTTATTACTTTTCTTAGTGAATGTCATACAAAAGCATTTCGAGACATTCAAGTCCAACTTGTTACGAAGACAGTAATCCTCAAATCGATTTAAATCTTCCTGAAGTTCTAATGTATCCTGCCTGGTTGATATTAATTTCATAATTTTCATATCGTCCGCATATAGTAATATTTTAGAATATTTAAAACATGATAGTATATCGTTCACATATAGTAATAATAGTATAAATAAGAGGGGTCCTAATAAGGAGCCGTGGGGAACACCCGAAGTAATAGACATCCAATTAGATGTATATCCTTGTAAAGCGACCGCTTGTGAACGATTGTCGACGTATGACTTAAACCAGCGAGACAGGTCGCCGTGTATACCCATGGATGTCAGCTTGTTAAGCAAAATGTCATGATCAATACGATCAAAACATTTGCTGTAATCCGTGTAGACGACGCCGACCTGCGCTCGCCGATCCATGCCACTCGATATGTATTCATTGGCAATAATAAGGTTTGAGACCGTAGATCGATTTCTTAAAAACCCGTGTTGCTCACTGGTGAGCTGAGGCTTTACACCTGCTGATATACAATTTTTTCAAAAATCTTGGCAATGAGACATAGTTTAGAAATTGGTCGGTAATTTTCAATATCACACTTATTGCCATTTTTATGAACAGGAGTAATGAAAGCTGCTTTCCAGATGTTAGGTACTAGACCTTTGCATATAGAGAAATTAAATAAGTAAGATAGTGGTTCTGACAAATTATCAGCACACTTCATTAAGAATATTGGTGAAATAAAATCGGGACCACCCGATTTTGAAAGATCTAGTTTATTCAGCAGTACTAGTATTTTTATAGATTGTATTTCAACTGTGGAGATATTGGAGGCACTGATTTGAGCGTGTTGTGATGGGGTAGGAACGGTAGTATATGGATTGTTGAAATTATCATTGCGATACGTAGACTTAAAGTATTTCACAAAAAGATAAGCGATATCTTCACCCTTTACTGGCTGTTTCGCTGCAGTAATTCATAGTTTTCGGAAAGGCGTCGTTAAGTTTTTTACTTTTAATGTAAGACCAAAAATGTTTAGGATTAGTTATTATCGACTTTTCTGTTCTGCTAATGTATTCATTGAAGCATTGTCTCTCAAGAATCTTGACACGTGCCCTGAGAAGCGAAAAGAATTCATAATCCGAGAGGTTCTTGTAAGTTTTAAACTTACGATGATACTTAATTTTTTCCTTGATCATTGTAATCAAAGGTAATGTGTACCATTTAGGGTAATTACACAACTTATAAGTTTTCTTTGGTATATATTTATCTCTTAAGGTTATCTATTATGATCAACGCATCAAAGCAGTGATTATTAATTATATGAAAGTATTTACCTGCTGCAAACCGGTCAGTGTGAACAGACGATAGCTTCAACACGCACAATGGTTCATCTTTAACTGATTCGGTTTTATGATTAATAAAATAAATATGGTCAGATAAGTATAAAAAGTTAGTAAGTATTTATCAAAGTTAAACAGTCAATTTCCTTAGGTAATTTTTGAAGATCATTGTTGAAGTAAAGTGGTCATTCACATAAATTTTGCTTGAACCACGTAAACCCGAGATATTTGGGGTTAGTAAGCCATCTTTGTTGAAGGTTCTGAGAGCAGCCACAAAGTCCTCCGTGACGTATGTATTATTGAAACTCGCAATTATGGACTTCGGGCAGTTCGAGTCTCGAGATGGAGTGCGCGCTACAAAGTTAACCTGTCGCTTTGTTATAAGATAATTTACTTTCGAACCAATGCTTATTACCAGGTCAATCAGGTTCTCATTAACTGACTGTGGTATTCCTTTTACTTCTACATAACTCATTCGATGCCATTGCTCTGCGAAATCTCTGTCTTTTTCAAGTAGCCCAACTCTGTTCTCTAGGGTTTTGATTGCTTCTTTGCTGTTTTCTATGTTTAGTAGTCGGGATCCAAACTCCTTAATAGTATTTCTGGCATCAATCACCGTGGTTTTAAGGCCAGAGAATTCCTCTCTCATAAATTATACCTCGTTCACTAGTTCCTCAAAGGCTGACATTCGAGCGGTAAGAGATTTTACCTCCTCCCTTAATGTTGCTTCAGGCAGAGGTGACAATGTAGTTGTACCCGGCTGTTGACCTCCTGTCTTGCATTTTGGACATCGCCATGTAGTTTTCCGGTCACCCAGTTTACGGTATCCTTCCGTGATCCCTATGCAGTTAAAGTGATATATCAGCTTGCACGATGAGCATTGTGCACCATCACCACCAAACATTTTCTCTTTGCATTCCCCGCATCTCGACATGAATAGTTAATAAAGACGAGTTTGAGAATCACTGGTTGTTATTAAAGGAGCGAAACGTCCGCACACTACGCAATAGGCGATGCGTCTGACAAACTATATCTTCTTACCTCATCGGGGTGCTCTTTCCTGTAGTCTTCTTTCTGCTGTTCCAGCTTCTTCTGATATTCCTGGTACTCTTGAGAGAGTTTCTGCTGCTCATCGTTGCTTATCTGTTGACCGCCTGGAATGTTGAATATTGAAAGTTTATTACGTATAACGTGCTTTTGTATGTTATAAATCAAATCAAAACGATAGCGCGTATTAATCAAACTTACCTTGCTGCGCACTGTGAAGCGAGCTGGTCAGCAGGTGTATCACATCGTGGTCATCCGCCAATCCACCGGTGGCCGCTGACAAGCCGAAGAAACCGCCGCGCGGTAACTGAACGTTTTCCGCTCGGAAACAGAGCTCGTAGTCCGCCTCGTTGTTTGTTAGGCCTAATACAAATGACACAATTTAAAAACCTCTGAGCAAATGTCCACTGTCACAGTAACTCTCCACCGACTATAATGACGTCATTTCATAAGTGTTTTGTTTTGTTTTGAAACGTTTACAAACCGAAGAGCGTTAAAATATTAACTTTAATGAATCCCAAAATTGGTTTATACAATAAAGGCGACATTTTCTATCGCCAATTAAACCAATTGATTATTATAAAGAAAAAAATATATATAACTACTAATCCCGGGTCTACGAAAGGTTTTGTAAAGGTTTTAAACCTTTATTCTGTGTTATTTATATTTTTAGAAAAATATATATTTTCAATTTAAAATTTTTCTAAATCCATTACAAAATGTAAAAGTGACCTTTCAGTTTATTCTATATATTACAATAACTATTATATTAACTACCAGCGACTACTTGACCAGCAAACCTTGAAAACCTAAACCTCATGAACCATTCCAGATATTGCTGAAAACCTCAATAAATTCCGTCCAGCACTTTTTGAGTTTCACGAAATAAAAGGCATTATCAAGCTCCACCTCCAGAACATACCTCTCATCGTTAAGACAGCTGCAAATCCGACTACCACGACAGTCTTTTCATTCGTGTTCAGCCTATGTCACAGATCCAGAGATAACCCCCTACAACCTCACAGACTTAATACTCCTAACCACTCACCATTATGGAAGTAGACAGTTAACGTGTTCATATAGTACTCAATTCTCGCTCTGGTGGGGAACGGTTTATTTCTGAAGTCGCGAAGACATCCCGAGAGCAGCTGGGTTGAGCCATCACTGGAAAAATTAGCATATGTACAGAATGTTCAACATTGCATTGTGAGAGCTTGGACCAATTCCAGGAAGTATTAGAGAACCTGTCCGTTACAGTCTGTTACAGGTGGTGCACACAAGCATGGTGAATTTAATGATGGATGAGGCGAGGTCAAGGCCGTAGCAAGTGAAGATTCATGGCATCTGCCTACCCCTTCGGGAAAAGGGCCGTATCACCCCGACGTGCGTCGATCCACAACTGAGCGTTATTTAAGTTTTTGGCCACCACCACTGGAGTATAATATCGAATAACAACTGTATAATCAGGCAACGAGCGTGCCTTCTGGCAATATCCATGGGCGATATCACTTAACATCAAATGTTGTTCTTTAAAAAGGCCATTTATCTCTGAGACCATGCGATCGAATCACGATTCACCTATTCTGTATGAGCATGACTAGGTCGTACAGAAACTGGCTTTAGACCCTAATCGTTTAGGCGGCGGTATCACTTAACATAACACAAAGTTCACAACCGTACCTAGAACGACTCCGGAACCTCTAACGCGGCCACCCAGACCCTGAATAGCAGAGTCTGGTGTGGGCAGGGTTTCTTTCGAAGGCAGGGGATGGACAAACGCATTTCCACCTCAGATATTACAAAAGACTTATTTCTAAAGAAAGAAACGCTAAATACTACTCACCTCTTATGATCGAAGTTTTTCGTTCCGTCATTCAAAACTGCCATTATATAGGGGTTATTGTGTTTATTATCATTGTCGAACGAGTCGAAAATGACAGCTAAACCGTTCCACCTGTCAGATGAACCGAAAACGTCACCCGTGTAATCGCCGCGTTGGGTCGTGTACCAGAATGCCTGAAAAACAATTTTCAACATTAATGAATATTAATGAACAATATTCTCGATCTTCTTCTTCTGGTGCCTTTTTCTTGTTAAAGGTTGGCTGTAACCAACTTGAATTGCCGGGTATCTTGCGCGAATCTAAAAAGCTCCTAGGCGGATGTGATGCCGATGCACTCCCATACGTTCCGCAACAAGGAAGAAGTATTTCCTTCTACCAGCCCGTCTCTTGCCTTGAATTTTTCCCATCATTATGAGCTGCGACTTTACGTATTTCAACGGTCTGCACAAACTTTCATGTCATTCCTCCAAGGACTCTTTCATTCGTCACTCTCTGGATCCAGCTGACGGGAAGAATGCGACGGTAACACCACATCTCAAAACCTTTGACGCGTCTTCTTTAGTTCATGCATCACAGCCATATGATGGTACTGGCCAAATGTTACAGACAAATTGTTAATATTAAATCTATACTGTATATCAAAAATTAACATTCATAACTTCAAGAACCCGCCAATGCGCGAAAACGCAAGATGGCGTCGCACTCTTCTACACAGTACACATAGACAAACGTCATTTGTCACAGAGACGCCATCTTGTCTACAGAAGCGTTTTGGTAGGTTATTACAATTATTATTGTAGACGATTTTCAAAATCTTGTCAAACCTGTCCTGTCAATATCTTTAACACAGAACATAGGTCATGATCATTATTGAAGACCTTTCCTACCCCGTAAGTTTATTTTTCAATTCTTGGACTAATTCGGAGAATTAAACTCTAATTCTCCGAATTAGTCCGTATATCGAAATCCAGCTTCTTACCAATCCATCAGCCCCAATACGCCCTCGACCAGTGATCTTGAACATAACATCCACTTCCCACCAATCAAAGTTGATGGGCTGCTTGGTCCATATCGCTCCTTTTTGACTTCGTAGTGATGGTGCAAGACGCACGCTCTCACCCGACGCTATTGCATCTGAAAGGAAAAATACTTTAAGCTCTGTGCTCTGCCCTGCATTAAAGCCTGTGGCGTTTTTTAGGTCTGGGCCTCAGATGGGTATCTGTTTCATGATTCTCTATCTAATAGGCAAGTAGGTGATCAGCTTCCTGTGCCTGACACACGCCGTCATGTTGGGTCTAAGGCAAGGTTTCCTCACGATGTTTTCGTCGTTCGAGGGAATGTTAAATGCGCATTAAAAGTCTATTGGTGCACAGCCGAAGTTCTACGACATCTGGGAGGAGAAACACGCTGAAGCCACTAGACCTAGACCTTTTTTAAAAAAGATTTTTTTAGAGAACTAAGTGCACCTATTTAAATGCAAACTTAAGGAAAATTATTTCATTGATGACACCGACGCACCTGACAAGTTCATTAAGTTATCACTAACATTCTGAAGACAGGATTAATTAATCAAAAATTAATATAATTCTTTAAGTATTTATTCATATCGACGGGAAACTCCTATAAGCCAGAAGATCAAGAGACGTAGGTGCAAATGGATAGCCTATACACTCCGAGGAGATTCCAATTATATCCCCAAGCACGCCCTTGAAGGATGACACGCCAGGAAAGCGGAAGAGTGGCCGTCCCAAGCAAACCTGGCGATGATGCAGGTGAGGCAAAGACAGCCAAAAAGACTTGGAGCTAGGTGAAATACGAAGACCGACTCTGGATACTCTGCTCCATCCAGGGGTCATAGGAAGCCCAAAAACGAAATGTCCTTGCTATTTCAAGAAAATAATTCACGTAATGAGTAAGAAGTTGCTTTGCAGCGCATAAGAAGTCTTGAAAAACAGCTATTGGAGGCTCAACAACATATTAATAACCTGAAGGCAGTCTCAGAAAGTGTAAAAGATACACAAATAAATGTTTTATATTACTTATATTACCAACTCATAATCTAAATAGTTTAGGTTACATTAAAATTAATAAATACATTAAGAAGAGACAGAAGCTAGTAAAACAATATAGAAATGAAAACTGTGTGGATTTAAAAGTTCAAAACACACAACTTCAAAATGAACTTGACTTGCATTTAATTGAAATTGAAAATGTTAAATTAAAATATGAAACTGACACTTTAGATTTAAAAACAGAAATATTAAAATTAAAAGAACTTACAGTCTCACTTCTAAATTTAAAGAATAACAATGTACGGTAGAAAAATATTCTTCTCCGCAGTATGTTATAATCATTTGCAGAATAAAACTTATGGTTGCAATTATAAAAGCCAACCCAGTCTCCAATTACCACAGACATCACAACACACTCACAGCCTCACCCACACCACAACAAACACTCAGTTAAAGGAAAAAATTAAGCCAAAAGAAAGGAATTTAATGTATTCAGATGAAATGGGTCAGGACCCATGGTACTATTGTACAATTAAATGATGGACAAACATTTATAAACAGCTGCCATCCCAATGCCACTTTTAAAAACATTGTGAAAAATCATATTATCAAAAACAATAATAATTGTAATATTTTTTATAGGGAACAGGGGAAATGTAAATAAACATGATCTTTTAGTATTATATGAAAAACTTTGTTGTTAAGACTTTACTCGGAGGTGTTCCACTGAAGAGGGTTATTTTTTGATTTTTCGTCAATCATCCGCAAACGGACAGCCTCACTGATGCGTGGGGTTCGTGCGAGTTCTAACAATATCCTGATGGTTATAGGTAAACCCGAATGTGCTGTTTTGAGACATTGGGTTCATATACATGCCTGTGTACCTGGTGCCTCGAATCAACGTAGATATATGAATTAAATGTTTTCTTCTTTGTGTCTTTAATAATTTTGCTAAATTTAATTTTAATTTTACTAGCATAGTTATAAGGATTACTTTACTAACAATATATGGATTTTTTAATGGTTTGAATTAAATGATTTTTATTTTATTTATTTTATTTTTTAAAAGGATCATAATGTTTACATTTCCCTATAGCAAAAGCTTTCCTAAGAAAATGAGAAGAATATTCTTAATCAAACATTGCATACATTGGCAATGTGTAATGATAAATTTTGTGTCATAGATACCAATAGGTATAGTAAAAAGTTTTTTATCACAAAGGGTAGATATTATTACCTACCCGCTTTCTTAAAAATACAGATAGCTGTTTCGCTATCATATTTTATAGAGATGACAGCCAAGAATTTAGCTAGACCCCTTGCTTCTATTGAGCAAGCATTAGATTATAAGACTTTGGGAGAAATTCCAAATAATATATATTTAAATTAGATAATAAGACAACAGGGCACCACTCTTGCAATAATAAAGTAAGTATATTTGATAAAAGTCTTTCCCGAAAAATTATTGTGGTACATCAAAATTCAAAATATACAGGGGATGAAAAATAAAAAATTAGAAATTGAACTATTCTTGAATAGTCAAAAAATAGACATTTAGTGCATAACAGAGCACTTTCTAAAAAAATATGAAGTTTTGTTTAATTTTAGTAAACACAGGGTTGGTAGTGTGTTTTGCAGAGAAAATGCAATTCATGGTGGCTCATTAATCCTAATTAATAAAAACTTTAATGCAAAGAAAGAAAGTATATTATCAGCCTCTTTGAAGAACTAACTATTGAAATTTCCTGTGTGGAACTGGAGCAATTCATTGTTGACATTGTCCTCCATCAGCTGTCTATAATAATGTTGAAAATTGTATTAGTGGAGATATTGAGTAAATTAGTGAAGTGTAATAAAGGGCTAATTGTGTGTCGATTTACTTTGTCATTCTAATTCAAGTATAGACATACTTAGTCTTTTTCGATCATACAATTTAATAAATCAATTTCATTCACCCACAAGAATAACAGCCAGCACTCATCTTGTATAGATAATATATTTAGTGACATAGCCCGTTTGAATGTTTGTATTTTCAATAGATTTAAATCTGATCACACTGATCAATGGATTGAATTCCAATTAAGGCAACAAAAAACATGTAAAATGAAGAAAATTGTGATAATTCCTATTACAAATTACCGCTTGGGCAGATTTAGAGAAGCATTGATGTATAGGATGCCATATCTGTGTGACAACTCATCCCCTAATATTTTATACAATACTTTTTTTGGATCATTTATTGATGAATTCAATAAAGTATTTACTCAAAAGACTTTATTGGTCTCTGAGAAAACAAGTTTCTGTGACTGGGCAAATGAGGAGTTACACAGAAAAAGGTTAATTATATGAAATGTATGATGAAAAGCAATATAACACTAGTGTGGAATTTAGGGAATATGTTAGGTTGTATTCAAATAATTTAAAAAAATATTGCAAAATTGCAAAGTCACAATATTTAAGTTGAAAAATAAAAAATAGCATGAATAAAGTAAAAGTAAAACTTGGAAAATAATAAATGAAGAATCAGGTAAAACGTCTGACAAACGAACCGATTATATGTTAAAAGTTAAAGGGAAATTAATAAAATCTGACCCATTCTACTTTTGAAGCAGAACATCAGCTTCTACTTTTGAACCTTCTACAGAGGTTTAAACCATATTTGTGCTGCAGAAGCGGGCTGTTCGGGGTATTTGTTGTGTTTCTCCGAGGGAGTCAGCACGGAATAAGTTTAAGGAATCAACTATTATGACACTATCTGGTCAATATATTCTTGAAGTCTTGTTGTAAGTACAAAAAAATATAAACGATTTTAAACAAATGGTGACTTTCACTAGTATAATACGCGAAAAGAACTAATTTGAGTGTACGACCAACCAGGCTCCAAAAGATAAACCACTCCTTATATGGAAATTCTATTCGTTTTTACAACAAACTCCCAAGCGAAATTAGAGAATTATCACAAAATAAATTCGAAGCCCTCGTTAAACGAAAATTAATCAATAAAGCTTTTTATAAATTTGAGGAATACTTAAATGATCCTAATCCATGGGATTGATTTGCTCCAGTTCAAACAATTTGTATGACAATACTTGGCGATTAAAAGAGTGGCGGAAAGTTTCTTGCCAGTTCTTCTTACCCGCTCTACGCCCTTGACTTGCGAACTGGTAGTAAATGTAAATTTACAATTAATTTAACTTCTTTCTGACGATTCATAAGTGTACTTATTTACATATAGGAATAAAGATATTTTGAGTTTGAGTTTGGTATCTGGGAAAGGGAAAAAATTTCATGTTCAAAAGTATAAGTTTTATTTATGTATTTTCAAGAATGAATTGAGTCAGTGACAATTAACGCCACCCAGCCTTCCATTCCCTGTGAATCAGTCGCAGATACTACAGAGTTCACGGTCAACGTAAAACATGAATTTCGAATTTAAATAAAGTCTATTTAATATGCTTTTAATAAAATCGACACATTATCATAAATAAATATCTATAAATAGCAATTAAGATGCTTTAAATGTATTTTATGCTCACAAAATAAGATATTACACCTACAAGGATATACAAGGCAACGGTGGATGGTTAGGCTTTGGACCAAATCCAGGATGTACTAGAGAAGGGACAGATCAAAAGTACCCACAAGACAGTAGCAAGTGGAGATCCTGCAAATTGACAAGGTATTATCAAGGAAAGGACCTCGCAGTCAAGCCACAAGGCTAACACCTCTCTGTTTATACTGAAGGCTTACAATGTATTATTAGAGAAAACCAGGTTGGTTATTGTCTTTTCATTGCAATCATAGCGAAGATGGTCAAATTAGAAATTATTCAACAGTCTGCTTCAATTTAGGTGAAAGGAATTTGATGAAATACATTTTAATAATATATAAGTAACATATGCATAAAGAAAATATAATCTAAAGATATGCCACAGTAGTTAAAGCGTAGATAATTTTAAAATGTGATAATAATTTGATAACTCCAGTAGCCATTGAGCACAGTATATCTTGTTTTACAAGCTATTAAAATTATCAATTTATTTAAAGTGGCTCCCAATAAGGTCATACATAACAAGTGTCTCCATAGTGAATTTTTCCTCACCCCACAATTATTGAATACAGAGAATTGTAATGGTTTAAAGTTTAAACCATTGCAATTGGAATTGGAACCTAATCAATTTGTAAATCTAAATCTATTGTTATAAAAACTTGGATTAATTTAACTGTGAATGTTAAGTAGCATCACATCACATCATGAGAGGCCTTTACCAAGAGACACACCAAACTGCGAGATAAACTGTAGTGAAAATATATCATAGACCACAGAGTTTCAGAATATAAAGGCTATATTATTATATACATAATGTAATAAATTTAAAGTCATTAAAGGTTTATTTAAATCTTCCAAGACATTCTCCCAATAATCAATGTAAAATGAAAATATTTGTAAGGTACAAATCATTTTACGTAATAATTTAATAACATTATAAAATGATACAAGAAATAGCCAGAATGTAATGAACCATTAACATGAAGATAATACAATTGTGTAGGGAAGTTGTTTTATAACAATTTTCCAACATCTGTTATGGTTGCCTACCATGCCTTATTTAAAATTGATTCAAAGGAGCAGTGTTGGCCTAGTGGCTTCAGCGTGCGACTCTCATACCTGAGGTTGTAGGTTCGATCCCCGGCTATGTACCAATGGTCTTTCTTTCTATGTGTGAATTTAACAGCTTGAATGGTGAAGGATCACCTACTTGCCTATTAGATTTAAAAATGATCATATAAACAGATTCAGACATCTGAGGCCAAGACTTAGAGTTTGCAGCGCCATTGATTAATTTTTTATTTTATTTATTTAAAATCGATTAAGGCCGTTAACTATATTAAAACCAGTTTGTCGAAATAATTAAATGCCTAATATGATCTATAAATCAACATTCAAGTAATTTCGATTCGGTCTATTATGTCCTATCATCGAATGTTGTTGAAAAAAATTTGTTTGAGTATGCAGATATGTACCCAAAAATTAGCATCCGTTCAACGGCATTTTAAATAAGGGGCAATAACATTTTAATTCATAAAAACCTTTACAAAAAACTTGAAACAAAACTTATTTTTGCTGTCGTGGAACGTAAAGCAAGGTTTGACAAGCAACCTCTCTTTCGCACTTAAGCAAAATACAATTGCGCTGCGCTCTCTTTCTCATTTGACACATATCACTGACGTGTAACAACACGGCGTTAATTACACGAATTTTGAAATAACAATTTTAAATAACGAATTATTCTTGTAAATTTATTTGTATATTATCCAATTCAATGTAAAATGTGTAGGTAAATGGCCAAAATATAGAGAAAACAACACTTACTTCCGCCATACTCCCAAAACGGCACCGATCCATCTTTTTGTGCTAAGTACGGTGGTTTGAAAGAATACTTGTATTCGAAACGTCTGTGTACTGTTTGTTGTGTACTTGTATTCACTAAGATGCACAAAATTGAACACAATAACAAATTTATACTAAAAGAAATCATTTTAACCGCGGAGCGCTCGACATGGACTTACAACCGAATGTGTCACGTCAAGACTATATGTCAAGACAAATTACAAACTACAAAGACAACATCACAATTTTATCACTACTATCAAAGATAATGACACTATCAATGACATTGACATTAATATTTTTTATAGCCACAGTTTAGTTAAGTGTCCTAGATAATTTATACTAGAAGATGTACTTGTGTTATATAATAATAATTATGTTATATTATGACCTATAATAATAGAAAGTAATTACGATTATTTTCATTATTAACGATAACAAAACGTGCAAGCAACGCTCATCTAGTGCGTTGCTTGCACGCCTGAGTTTCATCCGTTTGTTATTGATATCCCCAAGTGCCGCACTGCAAAATTTGGACCACCGTCTCTTGTAATAAGGTGTGCAATGAACCAACGTGAATAACGCTTAGAAGGCTGTTACTATATCTGAAAATAACTCTGAGCACTTTGCCGTCATTTCTGAGCGGTACAGGTGAGTACGTGGAGTGAATGGAATTTCTTAGGTACAAATGAGGAATTACGACTAATTATTAATGTACGACTTTGTTATAGTGTATAGATGATTAAAAATAAGTGTCGAAAATCCTAGTGCCGTACTAAAGTGGTGGTGCCGGAAGTCAGTGCAAATTTTTAATTCGATGATATTTGCAGAAGCAATCTATGTCATTTATAATATTTTCCAGCCTGCCGTAAATTTTTTGTGGAACATGATGGATGATATTAATTTATCCCTAATGGGAAACCGAAAAGAGTGACTTTTATCTGTATGGCAATAACACAGTTTATTAATACTTTAGAGTTTAGACAGTCTTCAATAAAATATAAATGCGTACACTTTCGATAGTCGATAGTGAAATGTACGTTACAGCCTTATGGTAGTATACTCAGATACGTTCACTTGTGGTGCAAATGAAGAGTAGTTTACCATGTTTGCAATATGCCAAACAACAGTAACATGTTTTAATAAAATGCTTCGACACGGACATTTTTATAATTATGTTGGCTAACATGAAGCATCTACTTGTGCATACAGTAGCAGAGGATCAATATGCCATAGATAGCAAAATCTGGACAGTTTTTTTAAGTGATTTGGATAATCTTTTAAAACTTCATGGAATCTATTATAAATGTTCGTTTTGAAACACATTTTTGGAATCAAAAATCGCCAAATCTAACTTTGGCGGATTATGATTACGCAACATAACAAGTGTAGCTCTTCCAGTGTTTCTCTCATCTGCTCACAAATCTAGCAGTCTTGTAGGTAAAACCCTTAAATCTTATTCTACAAACTACGAGATTGCGGATTTAACAGATGCGAGAAACGCGTGGTTAGCATCCAACCCAGGTTTGAGTTTGCCTTCTAGCGTCAACTTTCAAAGGAGCATTTTGCAAATCTGAAATACAAAAGTTCACATTTCAATAACAGACCGCGCAACAAAAGATTTACATTTCCAAAAGAGTGCAGGTTGTTTTTCTCGCCATGCCGTGCTCAACGACATTATACGCCGCTCTCTTGCCTCCGTTAATGTTCCAGCAATTTTGAAGCCAACAGGCATCGCAAGAGACGATGGCAAGCGGCCGGATGGAATGTCGTTAATCCCTTGGAAAATGGGACGGGCTTTAGTATGGGACGCTACTTGTGTGGACACGTTTGCCCCGTCTCACCTCCTTCGGACAAGCAAAAAAGCCGGGACGGCCGCAGAGCAGGCAGAAAATAATAAACGGCACAAAATATATAAGACTCTTTCCTCCAACTTCGCTTTTGTTCCCTTTGGAGTAGAGACTCTTGGGGCGTGGGGTTCAAGTGCACAGGCGCTTATTAAAGATTTAAGTTGGCGCCTAGTAGATAGTACCGGTGACCTCAGAGCTGGCACTTTCCTGGCTCAACGAATAAAGTATGTATAACAATACAGCGAAAAAATGCTGCCAGCGTTAAAGGTACACTGCCACAGGAAACAAACTTTTTAAATTTGTTTTGATTTTCTTTTTTAATATTTTTTATCAGGTTAAGAAAATTTTAATTTTACTGTTAGGTTTATTATCTATATTTTTTTTAATATACTGTGGTTCACACAGACTGCACAGAGTACTCCTAAGTATAAAACTTTGATCACGAAATTTTAAAATTGAAACTACAAATGCAAAGGTACTTAACTACTTACTATTGGAATAACTAAAATACCCTTACTTTATTTGTCTTCAAATGTTTTAGTACCTAATTGCTTTTTTTAGTGAAATGGCATCTATAAATCTTGGATCATCAAAATTTGGCGCAGTGTATCGTCTTGATTTTTACAAAAACAAGGAAAAATGGAAATTATCTGACCAAAAGAGAACTGAAAGTAATAAAAAGTAAGGACACATTTGTAATAACCTATTGCCCGTCTAGACTAAAAATTTTACGTAATGAAATCTTTCAAAATTCAATATTTCAATAGCACCATACTTCGAAGTTGATATTTGTTACAGGTAAAATATAATTACACCGTTTCTTTAGTCGTAATTTTCGGAAATAATTAATAAATTAAAACGGCAAATTCTCAATGCCCCTTCATCTTCAATTTTATTGCGGACTTTGCATAAAGTATTTTAATAAGATTATATACATGAGAATGATGCTATTTTACGCCGGCTTTTTCTCTCGGCCTACACCCTCTGTCTTCTTTGCCGATGAGTAGGGATGCCTACAAATTCAAATTTAATGACGTGGAATAAGTGATACATGTATTTTATGTTCCATAATAAACATGTTTTATTTTAAGAGAAATTATTTGTAAAGAGAAAAGCAAAGTTGGAATTGAATCTTTTATGACCAAGAATTGTTACATATTGGACATCAATTTATTCTTATATATTATGTCTTATTGAACATGGATACTTACTCTTTCTTATAACCAACATTTGTTTTGGCAGTATTACATTATGTCCTGTATTTAATATCACAATAATAATAATTCTAATATATCTCTTATTACAAACTATAACATAATATAGTTTACAGTGTTTCATATATTGTATAATGCACCATAAAAGTAGACAATAAGATGCCAAATCCCATAGATACAAATATATGCATCAAGCCAGTCTTTTTAAACATGAATTCACCGTTATAACATTAAAAAAAATATATACTATTCATATTACTGTAGTGTATTATTATATTACAGCATATAATATCTTAATATAAGAATATTAAATAAATGATTCAAAGCAACAATCAAGTCTTGCTACTCGTGGAGTTATTGGCTTTGTAGGGTATCATTTAAGCAAGACTAGCAATATGACTTTATTGTTACATATTAAATAAAGAGTTCAAAGCCTTATAATAATCTTGGTGAGCAACAAAGATTCCATTTACAGAACCAGTAGGGCACAACCTGGTTCTGGCCCCATATTTCTGTATTATGATATTTTTTATAATAATAGGCAAGTCTTAATGGTTTCCTCCTTCTGCAAATGTTTAATAGAATGATTACACCTTAGGGATGAATGTCACAAACTTATGTCAACACTGCTCCTAAAAGATTTCATTACAACATGCATTTATTGAAGAGTTTGAAGCATTATCATAATGATTGCAGTAATATTTATAGAATATTACAGTAGTTTTAATGCATTGTAATATATAGTGCATTTTCAAATATAGTAGTTACATCTTCAACCTACATTGAAATCAGTGATGTATCCAACCTTGCAACATTATGGCAGACAGTATTTAGATAGACTGCTCCAAGATCTTTAGGTTAGAGGCATTTTCATCACTTTTAAAATAAAATAAATTTCAGAAAGACACTAAACATAACATTTGATATGGAACAAAGAGAGAATTTAAAAGATGCATTTATTGAGACTGGCTCTGGTATGTATCTATTTTATTTAAGATAAATTTGTATTTAACAAATATATAATTTAACTTTATTACATTAAATAACCCGAGAGTATATTAAAAGCACTACAACCCTTTGTTTTGGCAAGTTGGTGATACTGTGCCTACATCATTAGTTTCTTAGGTTAGGTTACAAAGAATATTCAGCCTAGGTTCTACCTCTGGGATGAGAGTCTTCAACCCCACTCTTTATCTACACTTATATAAAGAGAAAAGATTTGATTGTTTGTATTGAATAGGTTCTAAATCTCATTAGAACCCCACTATGATAAAATTCGGTTTTAGAATTTTGAAAAAAGCTAGGTGTAAAGGTGTTAAAAAGACTAATAAAGATTCCTATATGCTGCGAAAACTATTGACAATAGAGCAACATACTACAGTTTTATAGAAGATATCAATCTACAAAAATGTCTGGGATACTATATGTTTATGACATATTTAATAATATTTAGCCATTTCTAATAAACATGTTGTTTATAATTTTATCCTTTAATCATCTTGTGTACATATCAGAAAGTGCAGGATCCACCAACCAGTGTATAAAGGTCGGTGACACACCTGTAAGCCTCTCGGCAGGGGCCCAATTTCGTTTAACAGTACAATATTTTTAGAATCGGAAAAGGCGTCTAAAACAGATTCATCCCCCCGGCCCCCGAACCTGTCCCAACAATGGCTGGAGAATGTCAATATTTGGCCCGCTGACACTCAAAATACGCAGAAGGCGTTATTAATGGGACTGGCAGAGGACGTTGATATGATATATGATGGAAAAGGACAGAGCGATGCTAAATCACTGTTTACATTGCAAGAATTTAAGGTGAGGAAACGGCCAATTTACTTTAAAAAATATCTATATTATATAGCTTCGAAACTACTGGACCGATTTGAATAATTCTTTCACCATTAGAATCCTGCGTTATCCCTGATAAATATAGGATATAATATTTGTATGATGCTTTGTCTGTTTTATACATGACGTCAATATCTACAAAAAATGTCACGACAGTCTATAATAAATAAACCAGTGTCGCTACAATCTTTTTAGGTCTGGGCCTCAGATTTACTGTATCTGTTTCATGATATCTCGTTGTAGCACCACTGATTTATTTTTATCTTATTTTATTTTAAGGAATTATAATAATTTTCAGCCCACTACAATGCCCGCAGCATACCAAAATCCATGCGAAATAGAATACTGTGGTTTTGATCATGGTGATAACTTGGAGTTTCGTTCGTTTGGTTATAGGGGTATGATATAGTTTGTATATGTATGAGCGAATAAAATATGTCAAAAAATTAACGGTCAACCGCCGCCCATGGACACCTCCAACGATGGGGCTAGCAATGTTGCTAGGAAACGGTACGCTCTTTGAAGGCCTCTAGAGAAGACTTCTTCTTCTAACGCATTTACCATGGAGTGTTCAGAGGAGTTGTTCGGATTAATGACTGTAGCTGAGTTTCATCAGACGCCGGAGCAGAATACAAAATACCACCCGCATCACCTCGACGTCCCTTCCACAACTGAGAGTTTAAAGGCAGTTTTTGTCATCACCACTATGTGGAACCAGCTGAGCTCAGAAGTATTTCTGAACCAACTCGACTTACGATCTTTTAAAGAGCGTACCCATTCTTAGCGATGCCAGAGCATTGAGACTGTCTTTGGGTTTCACTTAACATTCGAGCCTTCTGCCTGTTTGCCACCTGTTCCATAAAAAAAGAAGACCAAAATGTCCATCAATGATCAAAAGTGGGACTACGGGTCTATATGGGTCTTGGGCTCAGATTGCACTGTTACTTTGGGTATTTTTATTAATAGCCATGGTGATCAGTCTTCTTTGCCTGACAAATATCTAAGGCATGCCTTACGATGTTTTCCTTCATACGAGCGAATGTTCACACAATGTGCACCAAAGTAGGTCATCGCTGTTATCTTAATAATAATTAAAGCCTTTTATCTCCGATACGTTTACACTTTTTTCATTACTTATTTACTCTATCTCTCTCTAGTGTTTTTCGTATAAAACTAATAAATATCCTCGAAGAATTGTTTCAATTTTTGATCTTAAGTTCTCAGTTTAACGTATTTGCAGGTACTGAAACGAGAAATGTGTTTCCCGATATACAATGGATGGATGTACAAGAAAGTATGTTTAGTTCCACTTACGAAGGAATTGTAAGCCAAACGAGCTAACTGTAACCTTGTTGATCTAGTTACTTTCTGAATTTTCCAAAGGAAACTAGATGGAATTTTCCTTTTTCGGGAACAGATCCTAAATATAAATCCTAACAACATGCTTTTTAGGTTTATAAGCGTGTCGATCACCTATCGGAGTTCCTCCTGTTAACCCAAGAACCGTATTTGGTCCTTCGAGACGGATTTGGTTCAAATTTCACTTGAACATTGACCAAATGCTTACACGGCTCACGTGGTTCTTTTCTTCTCTTTAATTTTAACATTTGTCCGCGACCAACTGCAATTTTATGTATGTGTAAATATTACTGTATTCATTTCTCGCTTCCTCTCAAAGCGGCGAAGACTTCAAATCCTTAATGGGCATTAAAGAAAATCATCGTTACGAGTATAGCGGAGGTCCGTAATGGGTCCGTTCCGCTCGCAATGGAAGGCGGGCATTAGTATCATATCATAGCATACATCCCGTAATTCTTTATTCACTATTTATGTGTTAGGGTACGTCTGTAAGGCTTAGGGAACCCTATGGTTAGGTTCCTAGGTCTCACCCTCTCATATATTTAGTTATCTAGTGCAGTTTGCTGACACATTCAGATACCCCTCTCATTTATTTCCTTTCCTTTGGTCCTTCGAGCCGGATTTATAAAATTTATTGAATAGACGCACAATTTTTTTTTAGATCTTAGTTTGTTACTGTATTTACTTCACCCTTAGTTTTATGTATTTAGGGCTGCCTGGAAAAGATCGCTTGTTAGCGTTAGCGTTAGTTAAAAAAGGGCGGAGAGTTTCTTGCCAGTCATTCTCCGTCCTTGACTTACGAACTGGTAGTAAATGTAAATTTAGGATCAATTGAACATCTTTTCTGTTAACGTTTATAAGTGAACTTGGTTACCTATATGAATAAAGTTATTTTGAGTTCGAGGATCTGTTTTTATATGTAATGTAGCCAAGTTTTCATAAATAAAGAATTATGTTTTAAAATTTGCGGAGAATTCAAATAAATTTTTGTTTTATAGTTGACTCTGGAGATGCGTGCGAGTTACCTGTGCTGTCTCTGGATGAACATTTTTTTGAGGTGAGTAAAAATTACTGGTCAGCCATCGTTACCCAAATACTGCTGTTCCATAATTTATCGCAAAGCCTAAGTCACGTAAAGCATGTAGTGGTGAAAATAATATAAAGCAAATAATACAAAATTTCTGTACCATGTATTTTTAAATAAATCAGTGGTGCTACAACCTTTTTAGTTCTGGGCCTCAGATTTCTGTATCTGTTTCATGATTTCCTAATCTAATAGGCAAGTAGGGCCTCCTATGCCTGACACACGTCGACTTTTTGGGTCTAAGGCTTGGTTTCCTCGCGATGGTTTCCTTCGTACGAGCGAATGTTAAATGCGCAAAAAGTCCATCGATGCACAGCCGGGGTTCCACGATCTCCGGGATGAGAGACACGCTGAAGCCACTAGGCCAACACTGTTTTAATTATACTAATGTATATTTTTTTAATAAATGTAATTTACTAAGCGTGTATAACGTGTAGATATTAAATTGTTTAGGAACAGAAATTGTCAATTTCCGTGGACAGCTACAGTGCTTTCTGCCGCGGGGCCGATCTCAATCCCCACTGCTCGGAGTTGGAGTTGCCACTTAATGACTGTGAGTATAATCATGGGAAAGTAAATATTGTATATCAATAAAACTTTAAGAAAAACTTTGTCCGAATATCATATTTATATTGAATGTTTCAGCGATGAAGGAACCAGATGCAAATACGATTGCTCGCATGTCGTCCACTGAACTGAACAACTCCATACAAATGCACGCCAGAACCCTGGCCTTATTGCTGAGAGAAAATAATGAAAGACTGGTAGGTGTTATGTCATTAGTCAATCATATTGAACAGGCTGGTGGTTGCTTCATGCAGTGCATTGATGTTATTGTTTCATGAATCCAAATAGAAGTTACGCCAATCCGGCGCCAATGTGACCAACGAAGACGCGGATGTCACCCGTGACCATGCAGAGTTTGTGGCCGGGTCATTCCACAATAGAGACTATTGTGTCCACATCGAATACGGTCGACCCGTGAGACTTTCCCCATGCACTTGAGTATTTACTTCAAAAATCTTTCATTTTTTTGTGAAATTGTTTCATTATCCCTTTTTTTATCTAAGTTAATGTTGTCTCTGGCTTTCGTTACAGATAAAGAAGAGGCAACATTATATATACTATAAAATGGGACGGTACATAGTGTCGTCTCTTTCTTTCGTGTAAGATCTTACGTAGTTTACTATTTACAAATTTATGCAGATTTGCATGCTGACGGAACATCCAAAACAAGTCTGATTTCTTTATTTCATTGACAAAATTTAATTTTGTATAATTCTTAAAATCCACTTAACGACTTACTTTGCTGACGGTACATTATAAACACGTTGCCTGATTAAGTGTAAAGTCAATTGTCAAAATTCCTGCGAAATGTGAGAAATGTCAAGTTGATTCCAAAGTTAGAATAAGTTTTGATTTTTATAAAGTTTATTTTGCAAAGTTTTGTTTTATTTATGAATTATATTATAAGAGGGAAACAATTTTTAACCAAAAATCACAATAGTTCGTCTACATATCAATAGATGGCGGTATACATTAAAGATAATTTAGTTAAACGCGCTTGCACAATACGTACACAAATATATAGTACTAGCTGACCCGGCAAACGTCATTTTGCCATGTATATCATTTATAAAAAAAATAGGGGTTGATCGTAGAGGGGTGAAAGTTAGGGGTTGTATGTATTTTTTTATGCTGTATGATGTATCATAAAAAATAAGTAATTTATCTAAAAATTAAAAAAAATAATTTAGGGGTGACTTTAGCAATGCCTTTGACAAAGTCAGTCACGCGTTACTGATTCAGAAGCTTCGTGGTTATGGAATGGGAGAGAATTTGCTAAACTGGTTTAGGTCCTATCTTCGTAACAGGCCTCAGTCAGTAGTTGTTGGAGGCGCTGAGTCTACTCCCTATATTGCGCGATCTGGTGTACCGCAAGGATCTCATTTGGGACCGTTGCTATTCTTACTATTTGTAAACGACGTTAAGAATCATATAAAGCACTGTAAATCGTCTCTCTTCGCTGATGATTTAAAAATTTATAAAGTTATTAACACTGTCTGTGATGCTGCTCTAGTGCAAAGTGACCTTAATGGTATACAACATTGGTGCTTTTTAAATGGTATGATCCTCAATATAAATAAGTGCTTTCATATTAAATACACAAGAAAAAAAAACCACTTGTTACTGTGTATAAGCTTGACGGCGCGCCATTGAAGGAGGTTCAGGAGATTCGTGACTTGGGTTATTATTATTATTGACAAAAAATTAACGTTTACATCGCAGGTCAATAAAGTAGTCACCACATCCGCACGAATGCTTGGATTTCTTAAACGGAATGCGGATTGTTTTGGTTGTACGACTAAAACAATTTTGTACAACGCTCTGGTGCGCAGTCATGTTGAGTTTGGTAGTATTATATGGAATCCACTATATGCGATCCATTCGCAACGCGTTGAAAGCATACAAAGATCTTTTACGCGACACCTAGCTTTCATAAGCAGAGGATTTTCACATAGACAACCGTACCATCAGCGACTTAAAAAATTTAATATGTTATCTCTTAACAATCGGAGAGCTCTAGCCGGTGTTACATTCTTGTATAAATTGCTCAACAACCATTTACAGAACAGTGACCTTTTACAGGAAATCAAATTTGTCGTCCCTTACTCATTCCCTAGGTTTAAAATTAACAATATATTCCAAATTCCATCTGCCAAAACCAACCTAGGAGTTCAGGCACCTCTCGTTCGAATTCTTCGCGATTTCAACAAACTGAACACAGCGTATCCAGAGCTGGATATATTCGGTAGTGGGCTGATCGGTTTTAGAGAAAGCATTGTGGGGTGCCTTTCTAGAACCTAATTTCTTTTTTTTCTGATGATTTTTCTTTTTTTTTCTGCACATAGTTGTTGAAAATTTTATTTTATTTTATGTTTATGTTAAAAAAATTGATTTTATTTTAATGTGTGCTTGCATTGTCGTGTGTGTTTTAGTTGTGTTTTTTTTTTTAATTTCTATTTGATTTTTTTTACTGAGAAACTTATGCTTGCATTAACTGTCACACATTTTAGATGTGGGATTTTGTGAAATAGTTGGTGGACTTATGACTGTGTGTGATGTTGTGGGCTTTATAACTAAATAAATAAATAAATAAATAGGGGTGGACTACCCTTAACATTTAGGGTGATGAAAAATCGATGTTGTCCGATTCTCAGACATACACAACAAGCACACAAAATTTCATGAGAATCGGTCAAGCCGTTTCGGAAGAGTATGGCAACGAAAACTGTGACACGAGAATTTTATATATTAGATAACTGTTGTGATCTTTTCATCTGCAGCCCCAACTCTATTAAACTTAGAACAGGGCTGTAGGTTGTTGAAGGTGTCAAGACTCAAGTTAAATATTAGGATGTTGTCCTGCACTCTGCAGTCTGCAACTATGCAGCCACCTGCCACACACCGACTGTTAGAACTTAAAAGCCAAAGCCCGTTTGGGCTGATGGTGATAAGGAGTAGACCACTTTCCAGAGTCGTGGACCGTGGTTAAAGAAGTGAGCTGTATCACAGATCACTGGCGTAGCCAATTCCTCTCGGAAATTTGAAACACAAGTCATTTATGTATACTAGGAACTAGGAAGTTAGGAACAGTATAGGACCGAGAATACCAGTTAGCACCCTACGGCACTGTATATTTCCAATAATTCCATAGATTTTTCATGAACCCTACACAACATATTAATATTCTAAAAAAGCAGTCACTATTTGCAGTACTGAATTGTTTTAATTATTGGAGTTTACTCCTTAAGAAACGATTTGAGTTATAAGGCCCGGTACGGAAATTTTATGAGGAGTAAAATCAAGTGTAACACGAAAAGTTGAGGCGTTATGTAGAAAGAGACAAACATATATATCTGTAGGATTGAACGTGTAAAAGAATGAGATGGAATACATTACACATACTTTTCTATTTTGAATTCACGTTTTGACAGCCACGTTACAACATTGTCAGTGTTGACAGGTGTAAAAAATAAAAGTAGATTGTCTAGCGTGCCATAGAGTTTTGTCAATAGTAATGGTCAGTGAAATTAGAACTAAAAAGATTGTTCATTCCTTTTCTCCTCTTACTATAAAGGTAACTTTGGTCACAGAAAGAAAATCCTATTTGGGCATAGATGATGTAGGTACGTTTTATTACTACTACAAACATTTATATTATAAAAACATATATTAAAATAAAATATGGTCGACAGCCACAGAACATTATCGCCATTTTATCGTTCGTAAGGAGTAAACTCCAATCGTGCGTCGTAGCTGACACACACACACGTTTTTTGTTATAAAACTCAACTAAATTTAATTGAAAACGTGTTCCTAGTTTTTGAATTGTTAAAAAAAAACAAGATTACTTTTACAACGCGATTTTACTGTACATTCATTATAAGCTTTATATCACAAAAGGGCTGATGATTGAGTACGATATAAGGTTAGGAAATAAAACAGCTAGAATATTTAACTTTAATAAAATATATTTCATTCAATTGACAATTTTAGTACAACGCCATCTGGTGTGTAGGTGTGAAAACAAAATAGATGGCAATATATTAGTTTTAATGGACGGAATTAGGTTTTGAAATTAATTTTGTTTAAATTAAACCTTAAAATTGAATAATAGACGATAATACAATTATTATAATTTATTACAAATTAAAAATATAATGCTGTCTCGCTCATAATGTCATAAGTGTAAGAGAGACAGCAAATTTAAACATATTAATATTTCGAGTCAAATAAAAAATGAAATACACTACCCACCTGATAAGTGCACACGGTTTCAATATTCTATCTAGAATAATCAACGACTCGTAATGTTTGCGCGTCGTAGTAACGACGAACGAGTTTTATTCAAATGCGTTCCCTTTAGGGAATCAAGTAGATTTGAAATAATTATAAATTATAAAAGTGTTATTACTTTTGTTTTAGTTAAATTGACAACACCGGTGCCCTTACTCTGAAAAATTCTCATCTTAAAATAAAAAAATAATGAACTTCATGTGGTTTTACAAGTACATGTTTTCTTTCTTCAAGCAAAAAGCACAAAAAACAACAGCTATTTAAAATTAAATTTTATTTTAACATTTCCACGACAGATGGCGCTTTAATCAATTTACTAAATTATTAAAAATAGACTACTAGCTCACTTTTAATTAATTAAACTACATACATGTAGTCGATAGAGGGCGCTGCCATCAATAAAGTTATTAATGCAATTTAATGTTTAATGAAATTCGCATATGTACAAATCTACTTATAGTAATTATAAAAATAATATATATATTTTAAGTACTACACAGTCTTACAAGTACCCTTAAGGCCGAATTTTATAATTCAAGACAAGGACAGCAACATTCATTCTTTACAATGATCATAGACCTATGATTAATACAACAGACATTTTGCCGAAATTAAAAACCGTTCACTCCTCTTGGCTGGAACTCTCGGAAGACGAGTCCAGCAGAGCCGTTCTGGTGGTTGGTGGGCGTTCCGTGGTTTTATTCGGCATTGTCAACTCGCCGAGAAGATTACTGAAAAAAAAGAATAAGTTATTTAATTAATATTAAAAAGTGATTTGTCAAATGATCCCACGCTGCGCCAATAATAACACATTTTTGGTCTACTCACGCAACATCATCGGCGTCCAACTTCCAGTTGAAGAACTCATCACCGATGTTGAAAGTCAGATTCGATCTCATCACCAGACGGACGGGACGACCGTCGTTCGACTGAAATAATAGGTCGTTAAAAAGTTTATAAACTCCTCAGGCTAAACGGCTGAACCGATTTTGGTGGAATCGAGAATGGTTTACAATTATGACGTCGGGTCACAAGTGATTATATACAATACGTATATAGTTTCGTAACATTTTTATACATTTCATGTTAAATTGGGTCAGGTTAAAATTAAGCAGAGATGTCTGCCCCATGCCCCAGTATAACGCGACATCCCGAGTCATAATGAAAATAAGACGAACACTCACGGCGTTATAAAGGAAGGTACTAAGTTTTTTTAATAGAACAGGAGGCTCATCTGATGTTAAGTGATACCATGAACCCTCCAAATGCCAGAAGGCAAGTGAGTTGCCGGCCTTTTAAATGTGGTACCCTCAGATAACCGGTGCGAAATATAGGCGGACAGAAATTGCCAGACAAGGAAGGCGATAAAACATTTCGTAGAAAACAGAACTTTTGAAATACCTGTATCTGCGTCCCCTTAGCGAAGCTCTCCTCACTGCGTAGTTTATCATAATTTTTAATCAAATTATCATCAGCACTCATTAATTTGTATCTCTTTGTGTCACCTTTGACATATGTCAGACTGTCATCTGTCACTCCCGCGTCCGGCTTCATCCGCAAACTATCATCCGTCACTTCCGTCAATTTTGACGTTCGCTCTGACGCTTTGCCTAGATCTGTTCCATACACATCAACGCTTTGGAAGTCTTTACGAACGTCTTCCGTTGGTGATAGAACTGTATCCGGTTTATTTTCATCATCGGCGTCATCGCTGCTCTCATCGTAACGTTTATAAATATCATCCGGTTGTTCAGGATCTGGTGAATTAACAGTTATGTCATCTACAGCCGAGCTTTAAGGGAAGAGTCCCCACTCTTGATTGGATTACTTACAAATGACGTCACAAAGAGTAAATGACGATGCAATTTTGCCAAAGTTGATTAAATATGCCAAAAGAGCTTAATTCTACACATTTAATTAGATTAAATATAAAAAAAAGGGTGCGTGTACTTATGTACGCGCGTAAGAAGTTATACTTCTTTGGCATTATTAAAAATAGTTTTTGATTGCATGCAAATAATTAATTACAATTAAATAATCAAAGACTGGAAAAGGATTCATTATAGTCAAGAAAGTTCAGTTTACATTTGAAAAATTAAATAAATAATGATTTATTATTATTCTCTTACATTAAGTGTAACATAAATTCTATTTAGTTAAAAGTATATATAATTATATATTTAGAACATCTCTACCAAACACTAAGAAGTATGTTGTAGCTTTGGCAGTATTGCACAATATAAAATTAATAAATTTCTTTGAAAAAATTAATCAAAACTCCTTTATTTGTTTAAAAGGTAAATGACAAATGTCATTATGGTCATTCAAAATTCTTGGCATACGAACTTCACGCATATTCTATTTCTTTTTACTTGTAGATTGTCTTATTCCTATCTCGCTCGCGCACGCTATACTCACACTCCCAATTTTGTGTCACAGGTGCGCGCGCATCGTAAAATTTCACTCTCATCAATTTTTCATAACGCGCCTAAAGAAGTATAACTTCAAAAATAAATTTTAAAAATGCTGATACTGGATCCGGGAGCTGAAGAATTTAAATTAATTAAGGGTTTCTTTTAAATGTAAAATTCGCCAATAAGGCAAAAAGCCTGTTCCACAGTCCCAAAGCAATTACCTGAATGCGCCCGTGGCAACGTCATTGTGTCTTCTAACGGCGAGTCCTCAATCGATATCGGTTTTAACACATCGTTACTGCAAGAGTAAATTTAGCTGTATTTTATTATTTGCACTACACTTTGCTAAAATAACACTAGAACACGTACTTAGTGTCAAAAACAGATTATAAACGACCAATTCTATAATGTCAAAAATAAATCGCCTGCCATAAGAAGCTTGACCTCGTTAATAGAAGTCAGAAAGAATTTTTTATTGTGTTTACTGCAACTCAGTCTTGCTTTTGGTGGGTTCTTGAAAATGTTTTGAATTTGGCAATATTTAACTATTTATTACAAGTTCTAATGTCATTAATAAATAAACTAAAATGGTTTTTCAAAATCCTGTAACATTATTAACGACGACCACACAAAATTTCATCCAAATCGGTACAGCCATTTAGGAAGTGTTTAAATACACACACAGAGGATATATTTATACAGATTTAAAAATAACTTACTTAATCATCGGTAGTATTTTCTTGTGATGTTTTCGTTTTCTCTGAAAACAAAATGTTCCAAATTTAGCGGCTAAATGGCGCTGCCGATAGAATGGAGGACGGATTATTGAATTAACTTAATAAACCACTAGCTCTTAACTTATAATGTTATTACTTTAAAAAAGATAAACTTTCGTAATTAATCATATTCCTTGTTTTAAAAAATAAAAGTAAATTTTCAAAATATATCGGCTAATTCAAGTAGTACAACAAATATATAACTGCGACTAATATTGAAGTATGAACCTTATTTGTAAAATAAATAAAAATAAATCAGTGGTGCTAAAAAAACCTCTTTAGGTCTTGGCCTCAGATTTCTGAATCTGTTTCATACGAGATCAGCCTCCGGTGCCTGACACACGCCGTAAGACGTGTCGATTTCCTCACGATAGAACATCGTTCGAGCGTTCGAGCGAATGTTAAATGCGCACACAGAAAGACCTTATTTGTATTGGACTAAAATAGCTCATTAAACTGAAGTAGAAGCAAACTAAAAGAATAAAAAAGATTCCAGCTCCGATGAACCTGCTTTAAGAATCATATTCGATTGTCTTTGTGGTAAATTTGAAATCTTTTCTCGCATAGCTCTAATTTCCTCTGATCGCTAGGCGTGCCGCGACGTCATTGAACGAACAAATTATTTTCAACGAAGCGACCCATTCGTTTGCGAGGATGTTTCGTTTCTTTTGAACCGTTCACTCGCGAACGACGGATACATTCATATCCTGACTATGCACCTATGTGCGCAATTAACTCAGAAGCCACAGACTAGACAGGCTGATCACCCGCCTTTAAAAATGATTATGTAAATCGGTCAACGATACCTTAGGGTGGAGAGTGGGCTTCGAAGTGATCTCCACGAAATCCTCAATAATAATCTTCTTCTCGTTATCCTGGTTCAACCGCTCCACGCCCGGTGCGGTATTAACCGGGTGAGCCGGTTTCTCGGTTATACTCGTTTTAATCACTTGAACATCCGGTTTCACTTTCTTCGGCTGGATTTCTTTGTGCTGTGAAATGATATAAATGATATAGCTCTCCCTTTCGTTTAAGACACAAACAAACTGCCCTCCATGTTATATGGCGTGCCAAAGATCGATGGAAAGATGTATGATAGGGAAGAAAAGAATAGACTAAATAACGAATACAGCTTTAAGAAACTAAGGTACAATAAAATTAATAAACTTAAATAGTGGAGGCCAAGGAAACGGCTGATACATGGCAAAGAGTGGCAGTCGTCTTCTGTGTTCGCTTCTGCGCATGGTTTGGCCGAAATAAGATACGGTTCGCTGTAGGCGTACGGTAGACGGGCGAGTCCGTATCCTTTGCCTTTCTCGAGCCAGAACAGTCCACGTTTCTACTCCATACAGGAAGATAGGGAAAACAAGAGCCCGTATCAGTCTTATTTTGGTTTGATACCAAATCCTCTTTCCTTCCAGGCGACTAACATTTGAAAAAAGGTACCAACCGATTTGTGTTTATGTGCGTGCGCATGCGCATGGAGTGGTGAGACTCGATGTTTTTCGAACACACGCCCATTGTTGATAACCTGTAAAAATATTTAAAATTATATATTGTTATTTGTGTTGTCCGGCTGAAGCCTGATGTCGTGCGTTCGAACCCCGTCTGACCCAACCGATTATTTAAATTCAATTTCAATCTCAGGCTTTTTGGCACAACTAGAGAGACTCGGACCACTGCTTGGGCCGTCGCAGGGTGGTCATTCGCCTGAATTCGTAGAAGGGATTCGATGATCATCGATGTTTTGACATCGATGTTGCTATAGCAAAAATATCGTATCATCGACGTTAACTCATGGCCTTCTTATACGCTTCTTTAGTATCTCTCTCTGTTCCCCTTCCTCCCAGTATTTCTTTACTTCTTCGAGATTTAAATCCCTTGTATATAGTATTATAAGTATACTAGTGGACCCCACAGACGTTGTCCTGCATGATATTTAAAGCGATTAGGATATTAAGCAAAGTATGAAAGTACCGACTGCAGTGCCATCTGCCGGGCTGATTTGTGAATCTAAACCATTCTCGAATCTCCACGAACACACACAAAAAATTTCATCAAAATTGGTCCAGTCGTTTAGTAGGAGTTCAGTCACATACACACGCACACAAGAAATATATATATTAAGATTTATTGTAAATAATAACATTAAACTATAATTTTGATTAATTTTTCCCCTTATGTAACTATTCCGATTTTGTTGTAAATTTAATACGTTTTCAATCATCTATGTTTTTTGCGGCCAGGTCGTTCCCTTTATTCGTTCTTCGTAGTCTCGCTCGCTCTTTCTCTCTCACACTTCCTCACTAGTCACTACTAAAGAAATATATTAAAAGGTTCTTCTTTATCAACATTACTTTTAATTCAGTCAGTTGATGTTATCCAACATCGATGTTTGTCTTCCGATTAAGACATCGATGTCACTATCGATGATTTTCTAACATCGATCATCCCTACTCCTAATATCCAGGTACAATAAGCTTAACTCAATTGTCATTTATAATCAAATCTAGTCCAAACCTGCGTTTAAACAATAGCGTTTTATTTAACAAGTGCTGCCATCCAGTATCGGAATGTAGAAGCCAGAAAACTTACCGTAATATCCCTATCGTTGAGCGCGCTGACGATGTCCCTCACGAAGCTGTTATTCGGGTACAGGGTTCGATGCTTGCAATAAATATCCACCTCCAAATGCTCCTCGCTGCCGTTCGCTCTTCTCACCAATTTAAGTATAAACTTATCCTTCTTCCTCTTCTTTTTGCTCTTTCTGTGTCGACGTTGGTCCGTTTCGTTCACTGATAATAGAGAACGGGAGATGCGTCTGTGAAAATACCAGTGTTGCCGACTATTAATTACGAGTTTGTCTTAAATTTGGGTAATTTTTAAGCTATTGCATAGATTTTATCGCGGGCTTTGATCGACCGAATCGAGAAATTCCGTAACGAAAATAAACCTAACACACGGTGACGTAATATAGGTCCGGCCAACACGCGTTAGAACGGGACAAAACGCATACTGCGTCTCATATCAGTCTGGTGTGATCGATGACGTAGCGCAGGTGCGTTAGAGTGGGACAGAACGCATACTGCGCATTCATATATCTCTGCGTAAGCGCGATCTTTGCAGTCGGTACGCGTTAGAGTGGTAGATTACATATCAAAGAAAAAAAATGCATAAATAAATAATTATAATTGCAGTTGATAAAAATGCTTAGCAATAGCTTTACCGCGGCAGTCCCCGAGTGCCACACGTTTTTTTTTCTTTTCTTAAAAGTGCTAAATAAAAACAGAGAAGAGTGCAATATTTCGATAAAAATACAATTTCTATGAAAGCAATTAAGGAACTTATGTAGCATAGTTGCCAGAACCAAAAAATATTATATAAACATACCTCTGCCCTCTCAACTTCTGCAATCTGAGTTCTTGTTCACTCGGTTCACCTTTATCTAAAAAAAAATTAAAATCAAATTACAATATAATTCTAATCTGTGACCGATAACATCATAAAATTTGGATACTGATAATTAATAACGGAGCCAAGGACATTATCACTGGATTGTTTTATTTTGATGTCTTTATTCGACACAAAAAATTAGAAAACAAATTTTAATGAATAATTCAAAATTAAACTCACTGTCAAGTCTAAAGTCATTCTCCTCAGTATAGTCTATGGACCATTTCTGCTCCACACCCGGCACACACTTGGCCGCCGTGACGTCACCGCCCGCTTCCCTCGGCGACGTCAGACACAGGCTAGTCTCAATGTGCTGAAGCTGTTTAGAGGGCAGGTAGCGCCATCTCTGACAATTTTAATGAGGCGAATATTAAATACTGAATTTAAACATTCGAAGATAAAAATGAAGAACTTGAGATCATGGAGAAAGCTTTGGTCCCTGAAGGAAATCTTAATCTTACACATATAAAAACGAGCAGCATACCAGAAAGGAATGGAAGTAACTAAAAATAAAAAGGATACAGAAAGTAAAAAGAGAACAAATAAGACGAAAAACAAAAGTGTTAGATGCCTTGCCCTACAACAGAAGTGGGCAGGGCATATTGCAAGATTCACGGATAATAGATGGACTTTAAAGACAACGTGGAAAGGACCAAGAGGGAAGAATTCTTTCAAATTCTTATCGAACCCAAGCAAGACACGAAACAGTACTGATGCAGTATTCAGTGGAGTATTGTGATGATGAGAGGTTGGAGCGAGTTGGGTCTTGTAGATTGTGAGATGGGTGCAACCCGCTGCTCTTTATTATGAAAGCTTAGGAAATCTAAATTGAATAATGTACGATAATTATTCCTGTCTTTTGAACTCGCACTTGACCCACGTGACGCCCACATGACGCCCACGAAGCTACTAATGACGATGTCCATGTCGATGGGGTGACTTAAAAAATATTAAATTATTTGCAAAATTGGTATTATATGTTTTTTTTCTTTACCTCACCTGATGTTAAGTGATATCGCCGCCGATATACATAGACACTTAATACCAGCAATATAGCACTTCACATAACTCGCAAGAGCGTTGCCGGCCTAATAATAATTTTACTGGTGTCAGAAAAGATCACCTTGCATATTGAATTCTGAAATGCAACTCACCTGTCCTCTCAGTTTGCCGTGGCAGGTGACCATGAGCACACGCCGACTGCTGGCTTCATTTTCGCCCGGAGCACGTCTTAAACCACAATTGAAATTTGAACATCTTTTGGAAGACGACACCAAACTGGAGCCAAACAAACTCTTGTTTGGATCCAGTTTGGAGAACCAGAGAATATAGAGAAGGCCTTTACCCTACATTAATAAGTGATGGCTTTGAATGTGGTATCTCTTTACTTCACAGCGTAAACACAATCTGTTAGAAAGAGACGAGAGTTTTGACAATTGGGTAGAGTTATCATACAATTCATTTAAAAATATTGCGAGATATTTACCTAAAAATTAGTGTAAATCATATAAAAATTACAATATTAATTCGGGATAGTAATATTTTTAAAAAATCACTTTGTTTATGAGCATGTTACGTCATAGTGCGACGCGATCTTTTGTATCGTTTTGACGGGTTTTTGAAATTATAAATAGACCAGTTCTTACCTCATATATTGCAATTCAGCGCATCTTTCCTCGTCCCTGAGTTCTCCTTTCAGTGAAAGAGCGAAGTACTGAGTGGCTTCGAGGGTGTTGTGACAAGGGTAAGAGCCGAGAGGAGAGCCTTCGCCCTCGCGTTGGAGACTGTCCAGGCAGAGACCGGATGGATTGCGGAACCTGTAATGACTCCCGCTTGTTTAGATCCATGCATGTACGATCGACTTAAGAAGGAATTAAGTATTCTTTTAATGAGGAGGAGTGTTGGAATTGGCTTCAGTATCTCTCGTCCCTATGGTCGTCGAACCCTGGCTAAGCAACAAAGGACTTTTTGGATGGAAGGAAACATCGTAACGAAACTGGTCGTAGACCTAGAGGCTAAAGTAAGTCCAAACCAATTTGATATGAGGTCTTTCAAGAAGCGTACCGTATCTATGCTTGAAAGGCCAACAACGCACTTGCAAGCCCTCTGGCAGTGTGTGTGTCTATGGGCAGCGGTATCACTCAACATGGTCCTTCAAGAAAAAAGCGTACCATATTTAAAAGGCCAACAACGCACTTACGATTCTCTAGCAGTGTGAGTCCAGCTTCATGTCTATCCCTCTCATATAAAAAAGGCTGATTACCTACTTGCCTTATTAAACAGATAAGGATCTGAAGGTACCCTCAGACTGACATGGATGCTTAGGCTACTGGACCAAAAGCGCTTTCTAGCAAAAAATTAACCGTCATTTTATAAATATTTATTTAAAAAAAGCCACATGGCCAATACCTGCCGAATCCAAAGACGTCTCTGACGGGCACAAATTTATCCTTATAAACATGTTGGAGATACCACGCGAAGCTCTTGCATTTGAGCTTCTCCCGGAGCACCTTTCTATGTGTCACGTCACCGATTTTTGGGTTATTCTAGAAGGAAAAGGAGAAACTTTAAGGCACAATATAAGAAAGTGCAGCGCCCCACGAGGATTCCCTTCATCGTGATAAGCTAGTCTCTTATGATTACAGGTACTACTCTTGCACTAGAAGTAGAGTCAGAGAAGAAGAAGACAGGTCTAAATGTTTAAGGCCATGTAGTTGTTAAAGATGGAAGAGGCCTTTGAAAGAAATGGCCTTGCGCATATCAAGGAGAAGGTCTCCAACCGAGGGTTTAGTTAAGGGAATTGGGCGTTGTCCAAGTTTATACTATCTCTTTTCATCACAGCGTCAACTGAATTTGAGAGAAGGAATTAAAGGCGGATGGTTTAGCCCGATGCAGGACGCTCACCTTATGTTAAATAATACCGTCTATGGACACTCCGTATGCCATTGGGCCCGCTCAGGCTCTTTTAAGAATTGTTACGTTCTTGCTTTTTTGGCACCACCATTAAGAACCAGCCCACTGAAGTATTTCGGAACCAATGCGACTTAGGGTTCTTAGAGGACACTGATTCTTAAGAAGCCTACAATGAGCGAGCGTTCTGGTAGTGTGTCCATGGGCGTTATATAATATCAGGTCATCCTCCCGCCCATACGTCTTCTTTAATGAACAGGAGTTGACTTCTAGGTAGTTCGATAAAAAATGTTGTATTTAAATCAATATGATATTTTTTTTTTGAACAGAAGGCAAACAAGCAGGTGAGTCACGTTCAATTAAGTGATAATGAATGAATTAAATGTCATATATTTAACAATATATAGAAAAAAACGGCTCCTTAGCATTCATATATGCGCGTGTGCATGTCACACGGAAGTGGAAGCAGTGCGGTCTCACATATTACTGAATGTTTGTAATAGCAACTTTTTATTTTTGATATTTAAGTCTTACCCTCAAATCTGGTCGATGGAGATAAAATAATTCAGCATATTCATCCATCCACACATCGGCCATTCGGGCTGTGTTAATTCCTGAAATATTTCAAAGTATTTACTCTCCTACCCTCACTATCCCCATCCCTTTCCCACATACGTGCGGAAAAGAGATGATAATAACGAGAACAAATCTGCGAAAACCCAGATCAGCTTTTATAGAACTGGGACCAAACGGCTTGTGGCTCACTTGATGTTAAATACCGTCCATGGACACACTGTCACCAGGCTCGCTCTTGCTCTTACGAACTGGTGCGCTTCTTGAAGGAAATCAAGTCAAATTAGTTCAGAAGTACCCTGGCTTATGTGCCTGACACATTCCGTCGACTTTTAGGGTCTAAGACCAATTTCCTCACGATGTTTTCCTTCATACGACGGAATGTTAGAAAAACCATTGGGGAACAGCCGGGTTCTACGACCTCAGGGGTGAGAAATAAAGCAACTAGGCCAACACTGTGCAAAAAGAACTGTAACTGAAAATATCTATTACTACTAACAATTCTTAAAGGAATAAAAAATTAAAGTTATAAAAATGACGGTAGGTATGTATGACGCAAAAAAAACTTATATAATATATAGTTACCGTGCGTGTCTGTGTGTGCAGGCAGGCCATATGGATGGAACGATCGGAACACATGTCCAACCCGTGAACATGGAATTGTTTCGAGGGTACCGCCGCCTACGAAATAAGAAATCTGTTTAATGACAAATAAAGGAGGGTAGGACGACGAAACTAAAATAAAATACTAAAAAGTATTAAATATCATTATTTTGTAAATACAAACATTTTAATATTTGATAGTAAATCCCACATACCAGAATGCTATAGGGCTCGCTAAGAACAGTATCTTTCTTTCTTGAAGAACTCTAAGTCGAATTGTTACGGAAATACTACAGTGGTCTATTTTTTAAACCCAGTGAGTCAGTTCTAACAGTTTAAACCCCGGCTGTGCACCTGGACTTCACAGAGTACTCATCGCTTACCCACAACTTTTTGGTTGATTTAAAATCTACTTACACTGCCAAATCCTAAAGGACATTTCCAGGTTTTCCCCACCCCATCCAGCCATCTGCTCATCATACGCTCCCAATTCCCAATAATACTGACGATTTATCGCGAAAAGACCACCCGCCATTGTTGGAGACCTGGTATTTCAATCACATATCTATAATTTCCAAAATTTGTTGTAGATTTTGATGTTCTTCTAGATGCTATGCTATTATAACTGAAACAGCAGTTGGCCTAAAGGCTTCAGCGTGTTCCTCCTATCCCTGAGGTCGTTGAGCCTCTGGATGTAGACCAATGGATTTTCGTACCATTAATCACAACATTATGAGGAAGCCTTAGACCTTGTATCCGGCACAGAAGGCTCATCACCTACTTGCCTATTAAGAGAAAACTTAGTCTGCGCCTCCTGAGACCTAAAAGTTTGATGTATTTATACATTTAAAAACATTTGTCTATAGAACAGGAGGGTCATCTGATGGTAAGCGATACATCAACGCTCTCAATGTCAGCGGGCTCTCGAGGGCGATGCCAAACACAATAATACATACAGCGTTTATTCTACAATAAAAATATAAATACCTAGATCTTACGAGACCTACAGTTAGCCCACGATCTCCTTAGTCTTGCTGGTGAGCAACCCAAGTGTTCTTCACTCGTTTTCCTACCTAGGGGATATACGAAGGCCAAGGTTGTGAGACCAAGGGCCAGAATCTGAGGCACAGATTTAACAAAGATGTTGCTACTGAATGCTGTATCCACTCTCGACATCATTATATGTTCGCAGAGTAGCGATATTATGTATTCAATATTATTTATTTTTCGACTTTATCGTATTGGCTTAGCTGTAAGTATAGTTATGTGTTTTTTGTAAACAAATACAGATTATAAACAAACAGGTAGATCTTGGAAACCTTCACTGGCGTGGCGTCTCGCTAAGTTAGAGAGAAACACCATACACAATTACCGATACCAAGGAATCTCTTTAACTCCCCAAAACCTTACCATGTAGGGGCAATATCTGATCCGCGCCGTTTCTTCTCCCATTCGGGAACATCAATCCACGTGAAATGACCCATGAACGTGAACCCTCCCACCTAGAAAATTATCGAAAATCAATTCCACATACTTCCATAGAGCTGTCGAACACAGTTCATTCAATATAATCGGTGGATAGCATCCAGAGTCGACACATTACACCCTGGAGCTGGACTAAGGGTAAAATTCAGAAAGGTTTTAACACGGTCCAAGGCAAAGACTTATAGACTGATATTTCTGTTTGAATACGGCTAATGTTTTACTAATATGTGGAGCCTCCAGCATTGCAATAACATACCTGACTGTTCAAGACTGACAGTTTCAGTACTTAATTTTTTATTTAAAACAGTTTAATTGATACAAAAACAATGTGCACAAGTTTCTGCATATTGGTTTGTGGGGATACTAATATGAAATGCAAGCGGTTTTGCAGTTTTTTAACCAATAAATTTTGTTGGTCTATTGTCTTCAGCGTGCGACTTTCATCCCTGAGGCCTTACAACCCTGGCTGAGCACCAATGGACTGTCTATGTGCGCATCGTGGGAAGGAAAACATCATGATGAATCGAGCCTTCTACCTAAAAAGTCGTCGTGTATCTGGCACAGGAGGCTGATCACCTACTTGCGTATTAGATGACAAATGATCATGAAACAGATATCTGAGGCCCAGACCTAAAAATGTTATAGCGCCACTGGCTTAATTATTTTTATTTGTCTAATGTGTTAAACATTACATCATTGTCTTGAGGGCCTGGGCCTGGGCTGTATTCAAAAAGCCGGCGACGCACTTGCGAGCGTTCTGGCATTGTCCATGGGCGGCATAACCTGTTCTATAAAAAAATTTGGTTCTAGTGTTAAAGTGGCAATTGTCAACCTTTGACTAACACCAATTGGCACTTCCTTTTCTTCTTATAGTGCCATTTCTTTTCGAAGGTTGGCGATCAACATAGCGACTTTAATTATGGATGCCGCGCTTCGGGACAATGAATTGGTGCTTTTACCAAACCATTGGCTACAATTATTCCACCACGACATACGCCTGCTTCCAGGTCTTCTTCTACCTGCCACTTTACCACTTGGCACACACTAAGTCAAAGTTATGTTGATTTCTGAATACAATACGTGATGGACACACGCTCATTTCTCAATTTTACCCTTAGTCACGTTCCTTAGTTAAAATCAACCGTCAGACTATAACCACGTAATTAAACCAATGTTAAGTTAAAACTACGTTAGTATTAGGTGGGCTGAAAAGTTCGGAGACTGACTCAAATTTTATTGGCGCTGCTGGTATTAAATTAATACGATTTTAGTTAATCTTTTTTTCTGATGAAGACGTACTCACCGAAACTGAAGCCTATTAGAAGATATATGACCGCTATAATCGTTGTATCGCTCTCGAAGGCAACTACAATCACATCAAATATTTATTCTATTTTCCTACGAACTTTTCAGCCCACCATGACAAACACCACATGCATTACTATTTACAGGAAAATCAATAAAGTCACATTACTACCGTCTCATTCTGACAAATTGTATTTACGCTATGATACGGAGAGCCCACGATGCTAAATGGGGATTTACTCGAGCGTCGTAGAGACCTATTGGGATACAAAGCTTAGATAAAAAGAAGAAAAAAATGTTATATGATAAATTCCTTTTCATCGGTGGGGGAAGCGGCTATAGATAGTTAAATATGTAAAAAAAAACTGTTGCATGGACATCCTCGAGCGCGTCAGATATTGATAGCATCTATGCCCTACGTATTTTTAATAATGTACGTATGTTAATCTGATCGTTTGCATGATGCGGGTGGTTGTATTTAAGGGTTGAAAATTAAAAAAAAAAAAAATTATCGAGCGCGTCAGATTTTCTAAGGGAGTGTTAAGTGCACCAAAAAAAATCTCTCATTCACTAATCTGACGATTTCGATGGGACGCAAACCCACAGCCATTTTCTTAATTTGCAAAAAAAAAATCGCAATTTTGAAATACTCAAGCGCGTCAGATTAAGATATATGTGGTTCATCTTTATGTTCTAAACGTACTGTCTCATAATCTGACGATTATCTAGAGGGATTCGCCTGATCTGACAAAAAAAAAATAGAAAAACGGTTCACCTAAAGGGCCATCCCTGCAACTTCCCGCTAATTCCATTCCTGGGCGCTTAAAATTGATATTTTGAGCTCGCTGAGTTCAAAGAAATAACATTTCTATGCATTTGAGCTCTCCCAGCTCGAAAGTCTGATAGAAGTTTCATAGAACACTATTTTTGGAATTTTCAAACCGCAATAACTTTTGAATGGATCAAGCAATTTTCACGCGGTTGGCGGCATTCGACGCAGTTTTATCATTCTCATAAGTAATTTTGCAATTTTAATTGATCGAACCACAAATTTCGGAGTAATCCCGAAAAAACACTTTTTCGGGTTTCTTTCATGTACGATATCTCTCGAACGAATCAACCGCTTTTGACCAGCTTGGTGGCGATCGACGTGGTTTTTCAAGCTCAAAGGCGGATTAGTTTTTGAAGTTGATCGATAAAGAAACCACTTAAAAAAAAAATATTTCTTATTTTTTTAAGATTTTTCAAAATTTCTCAAAATCTATCGGTCCGAATCGGTTCAAATTCACAGGAAATGTAATTTTGAGGGAAATATTTTGAACGCCGTTTAGTAGATTCCGATCGGTTTAAGGAAATGTAGGCATCACGCAGCTGCACGCATTTAACTTTATCGACGAATTTTTGTTATTTCGGCTTGCGGAAATCGTCAGATTATATATTTTTCATTATTCTGGAATTATTTCCTTCAAAATAAAAGAAAAATTAGCTACGCTCGAGAATGTCGAGATGACGTTTTTTTTTTACAACTTTGTTGCCCTCCCCTTTTTTTCCGTCACTCTCAAATTGTCAGATTAGTGGAATATACACTTTTTAGGATGTAATTAACTCACCCTACCTTAATCTGACGCGCTCGGGAATTTCTGATGGTCAATTTTTTTTTACTAATCTGATCCTGTCTCCTTCACGCGCGGCCTTATATATGGGCCTCATATTTTGTGGAGGTACTTAACCGGGTACAAGGTATCCCCCTATATAGTAATCTGCCGCGCTTTAGTAAATCCCGAAATCCCCTCTTGGGCTCCCCTACCACTATGATACGGAGAGAGAGGTATCCTATAGGGAGGAAGGAATTGCAGCAGACCCAATTGAACTAGTGTTGGAAATACATTAACTGTAAGTTCTCAAATTAATTCTCCTTTCGGTTGACATTTAAGTAAAATGTGCTTCTGGCGCATGCTGTTATGAATAAGCAACCGCATTCCTCGTCCAATCAGTTAAATCCAAATGCAGTTAGTTAAGGCCAAAGTTGTTATTTAAGGACAAGTTATCAATTAAAAGGACAAAGTTGGTATTTAAAGGCCAAATTATCAATTAAAAGGCCGAGATGTATACCAACGTTGAATTAAAAGTGCAAAGATGCAATTTTAAGGCATGCATTCTTTGCATATAACCTGAAACTGCTCAGCGGCCTCAAGTTGAAACGTCGTCTGATCTATGACATCGATCAACGGTGTCACGACCGCGTCCCGTTTGTGCGAGATCCTTTGCAACAGTGGCCTCAACCAATCGGGAGCGGCCTCGCAGTGCGCGTCCAGAAATATTAGCACGTCGCCCCTGGCCTTTCGCGCGCCACGCATTCGTGCCCTCATGAGACCTTGCCTATGGAGAACTAAATGTTTGAGCCCATGCGCGAAAATACTTTAAAGGAAGAAGAAAGGTCTTCAGTAGCACACGGTGCCTTCTTCTTTTCAGAGCGTACCAATTCTTAATAGGCAGGCAACGCACCCGCGAAGCCTCTGCCTTTAACAGTGTCCATGGCCGGTAGGTATTTCCGGACAAATTTGACTTAGGGTTCTCTAAAGAGCGTGCCCATTTTCCAAAGGACGGCAACGCACCCTCGAGCCCTCTGGCAATGTTAGTGTCCATGGGCTGCGGTATCACTTAGTATCATGTGAGCCCGTTTGCCTCCTAAAACATAAAAAATTATAATATCAGTGTCGGCAATGGTTTGAATGCGCTAATCAAGATGTTTACAAACAATAGTCACGTGGCAAACACTTGCCCTTATCAGTACGTTGAGACGCACGTGCCACATCTGAACTTACAGCGTAACCAACCGTATACGTACCTTCACGTTCTTTCTTTTTTTTTTAATAAAAACAGGGGGCACTCAAGGCCAGAGGGCTTGCGAGTGCGTTGCCGGCCTATAGTGGAACCGGCCCGCATTTTTACGCCTTTATCATCAGTTGTATATATCAATTATCAGAATATATTACACCTATATTTTCCTCTTGTATTACCAAAACAATATCAAGACAGAAATGTGCAAAGTGCCAAAAGACGTGCCAACAAAATGTGCTGTACAACAAGAAACTTAAGTGAACCGCTCAAGACGTAACATATCATATCGAATAAATATCCGATATTTAAGTACATCGATTCGTATTTGATATAAACGTACCATATCGATTATCGGTGAGAAACCTCTCACTTAACCAGCTTTCACTGTATTATATCAAATTCGATTTAAGACTTAAATATCTGAAACGATTTAACTAATCGAGTAGCTCGATAAGCCCCGAAGTGCCCAAAACCTAACCTGAAACACAGCCGGGTCTTGAACGCTGTAGTAAAACGTGTCCGCCTCTATCACATCAATGATGGGTACCACTACAGCATGAGGAGCATCCTTGACCCGTTGGAGTAAGGGCCTAAGCCAGTCGGTTTGTGTTTCGCAATGCGCGTCCAAGAAGACCAACGTATCGCCAGTCGCGTAACGAGCTCCCGCGAGACGTGCTCGTGTGAGGCCAACACTGTATGAAACGACTTCGTTAGAAGCGAAGGCCAGGCGAGGAATGCCGTTAAATCTAAAGTGCCACTGTGTGGAAGGATGAGGAACTTTTCTTGAAACCTATCCGCTGACTGGCTCTAAGGTGAGAAGTTGTTAGCGCGTTTTAAGGTCTGAGCTAACGTCATAGCGGTAATTTGTAGGCGCAGATTGTATCTGTTCAAAGTCAAAATCATTTATTCGTGTAGGTAATTCAATGCACACTTATGAACGTCAAAATAAATATATGTATATATGAAATGCTTCTAATTTTACATTTACTGCCAGTTCTCAAATCAAGGGCGTAGAACGGAAGAGAACGAAGGTTGAATGAACCGAAAAATTCAAACCAGACATTTGCTGACTATTCTATAACCTATGAATGTTAACCCCACTCTTAAAATCAAATTTATGATGAAACACTCAAATACTAAACTAATTTAGGTAAAACTTCAGACTACGCTTTTTAAAACTTTAAAAAAATCTACAACTACCCTCAATTTCTTTACAAACTAGTCTAAATCCCATGATTTGATTTCTAATAAAAACACACAAAGTACCCTTATTTAATAACCTCAAAATCATTCCCCGTCTCATACTCAAACGTTGATTGATGTATCATATCAATGATGGGCGTTAGAACGGCTGTGTGCTTGTTCTTTATCCTCTGAAGGAGCGGTCTAAGCCAGTCGGCATTTGCTTCGCAATGCGAGTCAAGGAATATCATGACGTCACCAGTAGCTTTGCGACTACCCTCGAAACGAGCGCGCGTAACTCCTATCCTACATTATTTTTATATAAAATGTAGTCATATTAACTAAAATGGTTATTAAGTACAATTACCAACCAACCTTAGATACTTCAATGGCTGTTTTAATTTTTAAATTAAAAATTTATAAATAAGTATATGAAATGAACTCACCGATCAGGCAACCGTAATATCTTGATCAGGTCTGGTGGAATCCTGGTTCGTATGTAATGACTAAGTTTACCTTTTAGTTCAGGTAATGTTGAGTTATCGTCAACTAATATTATTTCTTTTAAATATACAAACGGTGATGATGGGTCTTGGCCGGGATACCCTGAATTGATTGAAGAAAGAAAACAATATATATTTATTTGCCCACAATAATTGGAAACTTTTTGAAATCTAGTAGAACTCTCAATGCTTGGGTTGTGCCTTGAAAACTATGCACCAATGAGTACTTCTATCTATGTGTGCAATGTTTTTTTTAAATGGAGCATGCAGGCAGGTTGCTCATCTGACGTTAAGTGATAGCCAGTTCACTTAAAATCACTTCCCGCTTCCAAAGACTTTCCAGAGGTTATAAAAGTACTTTAAAGTTTGCTAGTATGGTGTGGGCAAGTATTGTGAGGAAATAAATGTACATGTCTCAGAACAAAACAAAGACAAACAGAAAGTTGATTACCCACTTGCCAATAAATCAAAACGATTTAGTAGATAGATGCAGGAATATATCAAATTTAACCTTTCAGTTGGTTACCATTTGATTAAGATATAATTTTGATTCTAATACGGACAGACCTTTACAAATCAAACTTCCAACAATATAAATATATACTGTATAATGTAACATGCATTCATAACAAATGTACAAATCCTTACTCTGAAATATATTAGTATATACTTTAAAGTTGATTGTAATACACAATCTTTCTTCTCTGGATGTAAGGGTGACTCATAAAATTCTATAATATTCTAAGAAATGTCTATGGCCACATAATAATTTTTTTTGTATCTTTAAAGGTAAACTACTATTGCAATCATGACCTAATATACTTATTATTAGCTGTATGACTTACTTAATTTATAAACTAATAATCATCTTGAGATATCCTATGCTTAATCAATAACTTACCCATTTTCATTTTGGCCCCTGTATTCCTATCAACATAGTTCACCCTCCTATACCAGGGCTGGTTTCTTCTTGCACTATTCACAACGCTCCATATAGTCCTTACAACCACTGAATATGGCTCATTGTGAAAGATTATTATCACAGATGCAGATGGTAGCTCAGCATCATATAAAACACGCTTACATGCAGGATTACGATGATCTAAAAATTTATAGTGACAAATTGATGTTCATAACTAACACATAACAAATCAAATTAACATAAAGACATACATACAAGTCAAAGGAAAACTCCATTACTGCCTGTCAGATACTAATACCTTAAGTGCCTGTCTATTTTTATCTCCTACCCCAAGACAGCTTTTTAGCCCAATAGAGACAAAATGAAAATACTTTTATATTTATGGAACTCATAATCATTGAAAAAATGTTTTTAGTTGACTACTATGATATCCAATTCTTTTTCAGAGCTTACCACTGACCTCATAAACTAAGCTGTGTTCTATTATTGGGTAAAAACTATACTACTAAACTTGTAATACAATAAATGGCAGAGTTTTAGGTGTTAAGTCCTAAGTACCTTAGGCCATAGGACTGACTCTACTTCTATTTGTAATTAATAAACTCAACATCTAAAACAATGTTAAAGGTTCTTTGACAAGGACCAGAAGATATTACATAATAATATATCTAAAAATATAAATATTGTAGTCTTTAATAAATAGATTTAAAGACAAAAACTAGCACTTGCTGATTTCAATAACAAAACTGTGGCGGCAAGCGGATATTGAATATATTATAACTGTTCTTACCCTCTAGAGAGCGATTATACGGAATGCGATCGCTCAAATACACATTAATCGCCAGTTGCTTCTCAGATTCCTCCCCAAGTCGTTTCGCATCACCAAACAAATGTGCTGCCACACCACCTTCTCCCAAATCGGGAATAATCCTGGTCTCGTCTTCCAGAATCTGCTTTTCAAATTCATTTTGCTCTTCGGTCTGCGCTTTAACAGTTCTTTTACCACCACGATAATGTTCGAACAAACTTAATATTAAGCAAACTAAAATTAAGAAGAAACTAACTTTTGCCACATAATAACACTTTCGCACCGGCAATTTCATAATTTCTAAATACGTGAACGACGCGTCCACTCGCAACGCGTTGTGGATTTTGACAGTTGACACTGACATTTTTTGATTAATGACGTTTAGTGTTTACAATTATTTTATGACCGGAAATCCATGTGAAAACAAACAATCCATAAATTTTTTCTTTTTAATAACACGCAACCTGATGATTAAATTTGACCAATAATAATGCATACATTTCTCAAGTTTTCCTTTATTAAACCAAACAATTGCTGATTGACTGATCGCTAAACTTAAACTCCGCCAATGCAATCTTGATGACATTCTCGAATAATTAAGGTTTGGTCATACAGCGGGCGGGGCGGGAAGGCGACGGGGCGTCGATGCGTCGTGAGCAGTTGTAATGTACTAATTAATATAGGACATGCCACACAAAGCCGTCGCGCCCGGCGCCAACTGTCGCGTGACGCGTCCCGTCGCCGCCCCGCCCGACGGTAATACAAGAAGGCACGGCGGGACGGGGCGCGAACGGGGCGTGAGCGCGACGCAACTCGTTGTGTTATATGGGTATTCGTTGTAGTAGTCAAACAGAGAGCGGGACGCGACGCGTCGCGCCCTGTGTCATCACGCACGCTTTGTATTCGTCTACAAAAATGGACATGGAAAAAGCTGAAAAACTCATCGAAAGTGTTTAAATAATCAAAATAAATAATAAATAAATCAATAATAAAAAAAAAATAACTTGAGAGGTATCAAGGGACACCCGGATGGAACGAAGTTCCTTTCGATTAATTTATATGTTAATTTACCAATGATACCTCATAACAGTGTGATGGATTTTCTTGACCCCAATCTTATATTATTTTCATCGTCTTTTAAAGTTTTAAGAGACCAGGAATCTTAAAGAGGAAGGAGTATGATGACGTTGTGCTACGCAGCGATTAAATAGTAAAATAACTTAAATATAAATTAAGTGGTACAATTAATAAGCATATTATTTCGTATTTCGTGGTTAGGATGTTTTAATTCAGTCTCATCTGGTTTATCTCATTGTAAAATAAAATAAAAAAAATAAAATATGTTTATTATGGAACATAAGATACATGTATCGCTTATTCTACGTCATTAAATTTTAACTTTTAGGCATCCCTACTCATCGGCAAAGAAGACAGAGGGTGTAGGCCGAGAGAAAAAGCCGGCGTAAAAAACTCTCGGTAGGTACTCTTTTAAAACAGCAAATCATCAAACAACACTTATTTAAAACAAATATCGCAAATTAATTAGAAGTAGCCTATCTAGCACTAGTCCCAGGCCCTTTTATCAACTAGATAATCGTTGACTTTATAGTAAGTCTTTTTACACAGCTTTTCTTTAATACATTTCTTAAATTTATTGAAAGGCAGAGATAAAAGAGCCTCTGGGATTTTATTAAAGAAGAGTATCCCTTTCCCCAAAAAAGAATTTCTAACTTTAGATAGTCCAGTACGCGGAAACTGCAGCCTGCGTTTGTTCCGTGTATTAACATTGTGCGTATGTTCTATTCTAGTAAACTTATCACTATTTTTGTATACATACATAATATTTTCATAAATATATTGCGAGGGAAAGGTAAGTATATTAATTTCCTTGAATTTATCTCTAAGAGATTCCCTACATTTTAAATTATAGATTGCACGAATAGCCCTCTTCTGCAGGATGAAAATAGTTTCGACATCAGCAGCATGACCCCATTATAATAAGCCATAAGTCATTAAGCTATGAAATTAACTAAAATAAACAAGTCTAGCTGTATCGACATCAGTTAGTGAGCGAATTTTTTTAACCGCGTAAGCTGCAGAACTAAGTCTCTTCGCTAATCCGTTAATATGAGGGGACCACTGAAGTTTTGAATCCATGGTGATTCCGAGAAATACAGTTGTATCATCCAGATTCAATTCCTCACCGTTTAAAATTGGTCTAGTATCCATAACCCTTGCATTTTTTGCACAAAATTTCATGCATTTTGTCTTTTTTGCATTAAGTAGAAGGTTATTCATACTAAACCAATGGACAATCGAAGACAAAGCATTGTTCACATCGTCAAAATTTGTTATTTGTCGTTTGATTTTAAAAATTAAGGACGTGTCATCAGCAAACAAAACTATCTGATGTTTTCTCTCTAGGTACTATGGAAGGTAGATCATTTATATAAACAAGAAAGAGGAAAGGGCCAAGAATTGAGCCCTGTGGTACCCCCATATCTACTGCCGACCCAGAGGACCTCTTACCATTCACTTCAACCTTCTGAGTTCTTCCGTGTAAATAGGAAGTCAGAAGATTCAGTGCGGTATTCTTGATGCCATAGTGGCGGAGTTTCCCGATTAAGGTCTCGTGTTGGACACAATCAAATGCTTTGGATAAGTCGCAGAAAACACCTAAAGCATCATGCGACTCCTCCCAAGCCTTAACTATATATCTATATAACTCAACACCGGCATCGGCTGTCGAGCGACCCTTGGTAAAACCGAACTGATTATTATGTAATAATTTATTTACGTTAAAATGACTTATCAGTCGATTTAATATAATTTTTTCAAATATTTTACTACAAGTACGGAAATTGGTCTAAAGTTACTGGGGTCGGACATACTACCTGCTTTAAATAATGGAATAACTTTACTATGTTTCATTAGATCGGGAAACTCGCCACTTTTAATACAATTGTTGAAAATTAGAGCTAGATGGGGAGCAATTACATCAATTATGCTACTAATTATTTTTACAGAAATACCCCAAAGATCAGTAGCGTTCTTAATATCTATGGTTCTAAAAATCCTCACTATATCGTCGGCACCAATGCAAATGGGTCGGAATGTAAAACTGACCTTGCACTCGTTTACATTATCTTTGAGCAGCGATTCAGCGAGGGCCGGAGATGATTGAAGAGACTTATTAGTCGAAATTGGAATGTCAGAAAAGTACTTATCAAAAATATATAATTGTATAAGCTGTTCTCGTTGTGATAATATTAGTTCACTAAGTTTTGAATTCGCAGAATTTCATGACATTTTCCTGAAACATTATTTTTTTATTTATTATAATGAATATTTTTTAAAAGCATTGTATTTTGCAAGGAAACTAGGGACCCCGCAATTATTATTGTACAGGGAGTCTGGTGTACGTTAACTACGACTCATTTAGTTTACGGATTCCAAAAATTTTCATTTCTTATCGCTACGAAAAAAAAGCCAACTTCACGAGGTGTTCCCAGGCGGTCACCCATCCAAGTACTGACCTCGGCCGACGTTATATAACTTTGGTGATCGTACCAAAAACAGGTGTATTCAACGTGGTATTGGCGATAGCTATATCGAAAATATAAAATAGAACAACTATAGAAAAAAGTGTCGTTACAACTTTTTTCTTAATTTTTTCCATCTAGTCCCCTTTCGCAACGCGCGATTTGGAACTTCGTTCCAATATATCTAATTTTATTTCCATCAGAAATCCCCTGCCTGATGCCTTGAAAATACAAAAACAATAATTCTTGTGTAATGTTATTACTGAATTTTCATGTAATTTTAGAATTTGTATTTAATTAAAATCACTTAGTTCTTTGACAGCTCAATCGAACATACAATTAGTAAGGTTAACCACACGGATCCTATTCTTACGATGTGTTCGTACTTCAATTAATTATTCTAAATTAAATATTCTTTCCCCCTATTCTGCCCCTAACTCGGTTGAGAAACCTCTAAATCTAGGGGGAAATCCTCTGATCTGGAAACACTGAAATCACGCCGAGTGCGGCGGGTCGGCCGACGCGACGCTTGCAGGTCATCACGTCCGCACTCGCCGGTCCGCAGTGTGACATCCACGCCGCGTCGCCGTTCCGCCAGCGTCGCGTAGCCGTGCCGCCCGGGAACCTTAAGTTGGCGGGGGGAAATTAATTTTTTGCACTTTTTTTTGGCTCTATCAACTGTTCGTTAACTGTTCTTCATTGTTCTATCAAAAAAATTTTTTGTTCGTTCTTATTTATTTTTTAATTATAAAAAATTGACCCTCAATTTGGCACGAACTATAAATATTTTGATATTGTTTTGTTTTTTCTTATAGTTTCGAACTATTCAATGACTGTTCGTTCAAAATAAACAACTGTTCGGCTTTCATTATCCTGTAATTTAATAATAATTAACTTTTTTTTATAAATCTTAATTAAATGTTATTGCGCATGCGCAGTATTAATGCGCATAGTTCTCATAAATTATGCGCGGCCTATTTGAATTCGATTCAAAGAGACAACACAACAATAACAGCAACAACAACAAAATCATCATCATCACCCGGTTTTTACTTTCATTTATATTTTGTTATTTTATACAAACAAAATGAACTCTTTCTTAACATCTAAAGTCGTATTTCTTGTACTTATCCATTCTTTTAACATTCCTGATTAAATATATTGATTGAGAAAAATAGAAAAGGATTAGTCCCATGCAAACTATAGGTCTACCAGAATCTGATGGCAAAAAAAAGTTTAAAACTTAGCGATTTGCATGTGGCAACAAAAAAAAATTTCATCTGTCATCTGAAATTTCGAGGAATTGTTTTTGGTTTGGCTTCAAATTTACTTTAAAAAGTGGTGAAAATGTCGAAAATACCTCTTCGATCGCAAGCAAGAAATATTGTTTTCAATGTTTATCAAAGAATACTTGATCAACAAGGTGCAGAACATACACAATCATCGATATTGAGCCCATGTCACTTGTACATTGAGTGGTTAGTAGGAATGACACGTCTTGATACTTTGGTTTATTGGATTTTCGTGTGTATTATATTATGTACTTATATAAACTTTGGTTTATTTCAGGGGTTTCTAATACTACCTTAAGATGAATTGTTGCCGAAGGCTGATCTAATAAGGGCGTATTTAGTACGCCCGGTAAAAACAGGAAAGGTGGCAAAAAAAATAAACTTGGATAGATTTGATTTCGAATTGAAAAAAAAAACTAAATATCAGATAGATGAGATTTTTAAATCACACGGCCACGAAG